TATATAGGATGCAGCGTGTATATAACTGTGGACCTGTGCATGATCTCTGTGAAGAGGACATGTATTAGTGATATGTTTCTATGTTTTTGCACTAAGACAGCAGATCAAATTCCTTGTATACGCTATGGTCTTGACAAATAAAGTAATTCTGATTTGAGAGGGTCACTTAAGTGCCTCTCAACAACTACAGCTATTGCTGTTAAATGATACTCTCAGCGTGAGGCACACGTTTTCACAAAAAAAAAATCGCGTAATTACAAGCATGCAAGAATGCACCCCTTTCAATGTCCTTACCAGTGAATTTACCTGCGATTGAGGACACAAATGTGTTTGAGGTTGTATTTTGGCGACCCCTAGTGGCGGAGATGAGGTCAATACAGAAGTTTCACTGATGGGCACGAGCTCTCTTCGTCGAGATCACCGGAGTGACAAAACATCGGATCGTGAACACCCGTGGGACGCTGGCAACGTGCTAACCTGCGAACGTGTTAAAAGAAATAACGAGTGGAATGCTGCTATTTTATTCCTGAGCTCGAGTAAACTGCTCTGCTTTATTAGGTATCCAAACCAACATGGTAAATGAGGGTTGGTTTTCAGTTGACATGCCTGGTAAAATAAAGATTTAAATAACTTTGTGACGATGCTTTATATAGATTACTTTACGGTCTCTGCACTATAAATGCATCTGATATTTGCTCTCGATTATTAGATTTTATATGCTGTGGCACTGTGGCTAAGGATCTGCGCCTGTGGCTGGAACGTTGCCATTATCCAGGACATGATTTCGGGGGCAGGCCGGAGAAAACGGCCAGGCAGGGAACACCAGTCCATCACAGGCCACACACAGATACACCCGTATGAGAAAGGCCACCTTTTGGCTTGAAAAGCGCAACAAAAAATACAAATGTATTGTAACGCATACGGCCATCAGGGTGTGTAAGAGCCGGTTTACCAGAGCGGTGACGTCGCCGCCCTTCCCTGTGATAGCAGGACTACAGCTACGGGGCTGTAGGGGGATCTCTCTTTAGCTCACGGGGCTGTGTCCCTGTTGAGTGACGCGGGAGTCCCGGATTCGAGCCCCAGACGGTGGGGGGCCGACCTGATGCGGCAAGGGCGCCCGCCTGAACCCCGTTGCGTTACAGTATTATTATCCTAATTAACAAACCCATTGAAAATTTAATGTTCTAAATTGCCCGGTCTCTCGTGTGGGTTTCGCCGTATTTTGTGAAGGTTTAAAGACTAAAAGGGATTTACTTCAGTCGGCCAATTAAAAGCATTTGTGAACAGTTGACGTTATTTCGAAAAACGCCTCTCCTGCTTTTCTCTGGTGTGACACCGTCCCCTTAAGAGCATCAGATGCTTCCCGGGTAGACCAGGGCCAAGTGTTAATGATGAAACACGCACCTCCATGATACCACACAGAAGAGCGTCGCTGAATTATACGTGCTTTAGGCAGCAGCCATATCACTCTGCACCTCACAGCTGGCAGCCCACTGGAGCTCAGCAGGCGTGAGTCTGGTCAGTACCTGGATGGGAGACTCCTGGGAAAAACTAAGGCTGCTGCTGGAAGAGGTGTTAGTGGGGCCAGCAGGGGGCGCTCACCCTGCGGTCTGTGTGGGTCCTACTGCTCCAGTATAGTGACGGGGACACTAGACTGTAAACAGGCGCTGTCCTGACTCTGTGTATTACAAATCCCAGGGCGTTTCTCAGTTGGGAGTTGGGGTGTTACCCCGGCATCCTGGCCACATTTCCCATTGGCCCTAACCAATCATGGCCTCCTAATAATCCCCCTCTATGAATTGGCTTCATTACTCTGCTCTCCTCCCCACTGAGAGCTGAGATGTGGGGCTGCACTATGGCTGCCGTCGCATCATCCAGGTGGATGCTGCACACTGGTGGTGTTTGAGGGGATCCCCATTACCTGTAAAGCGCTTTGAGTGGAGTGTCCAGAAAAGCGCTATATAAGTGTAAGCAATTATTATTATTATTATTATTAATATTAATACTGGGCTGGTCTTGAATCCGCTCTGGAAGTTGAAACCGCGCTTGAACTCCTCCAGCCCGACAGGTGGCGCCGCTGCGGAAGGCGGGGGGGTTCGAGCGAGCGGCCCGGCCGTTCTCGATGGTACGATGAGGAAGTGACAGCTGGCAGGCAGGGAGCGGGGACGCCCCAGCCTTACCGGAATGGTGTAGAGAACAAGAGGAAGAGGGGGAAAAAAAAGGATAAGACGCAGGAAACAAGGTGCAGCCGGAGGCCCGGGTTCGGGGGGGGAGGGCAGTGCAGGGCAGTTCCGTGTGTGACGGGGAGCGGGCAGGCCGGGAGCCGGGGAGCGGAGGGCGCGTCACGGACAGGCCCACGGCAGTGCCACCATGGCAGCGAGCGGGGACGGGCCGGGTGCTGGCGTGGCGGCAGACAAGGCGATCGGCTCACGGAGGCACAGCGAAGGTAACAGGCAGCAGCTCCGTCTCGCCTCGGACCGATTCGTTTGAAGAAAAAAAAAAAAAACCCCAACAGCAACACAGTCGGAGCTCATTCCTGCGAAACTAGAAAACTCGAAACCGACGGTGTGGAAAAGCGCGAGTTGACCCCACTGTCCGGGATAAGTTTCGCCGCCTGAACGGACCCCTTCCCTTCCCTCGGGTGCCGCTTGCGTGTCCGGCTTCCAGTCGCCTATTGGCGAGTTGAGCTGCCGCGCTCGGCGGGCGTTACCGAAACCCAGAGCTGGGAAAGCAGAAGCCCGTCTTGTGGGAGAGCGTTGCTAGGCGGGTGTCAGTGGGCAGCTCGCACACGCCGGATCGATATCCGTGTCACCTCTCCTCGGGACGAGGCGAGCCATTCAGTTTCTCCGGCGAAGCTAAGCGCACTTGAACCGAGCGCCTGTCTGTGCTCGGTGTGCGATCTCATACTTTTCCCATCTGAATCTGGCTTAACTGCTGTCGCTGTGAACTCTCCATAGGGACGCCTAATCGATTTAGAAAGGTACTGTGTATCTCGGACAGCGCGTCGTCAGTAATGGCTCTGTGCCTCTTCCCGCTGTGTTACGCGCCCGGGCTCAAGTGAGAATTCTAGCAAGGTCCAGGCGTGTGTCAATGTTGTGTTTGTAATTACGTGTTGTTGGATTCAACCTGGGAGCTGCTGAACCTTAAATTAATATCTAGGCTAATTGTTGCGGACGCTGGATACACTGGAGAAAGACGAGGTAGTCTTTGAAGTGAGGTATTTTTTTTTTGAGAGTGCTACTTAGTCTGATGTCTGGTGTAACTGAAGATCTCTTATCTGTATTTGCCCAATGTCCTAAATTTTATATACACATTTATATGTGTACATACATTTTATATATACAGTATAATAGAGAATAAAAATCGCCTTTTCTAAAAATTAAAGTTGATTGTCAGTAGTCCTCACAAATCAGCTATAACTCTGAGTAGATTTCTGGACATATGCATAATTTTACCAGCAATTAGAGTGAGACTGCATTTAGGGTTTAGTTGTTTGCAGTATAAGATAGTGCCTCCCATTGTACCACAGCACACAATAGGTTCTTATTCTATTCAGTTGTCTCCTATCAATAACAAAAGGATATACCATAACAATCCCTTCAGTCTGCTGGACTTCTTAGGTTTTCTCCAAGAAAAGGCTAAGAACTCTGGCTTGGCCGTGCCTAGGACAACGCCCCTATTAGCTAAGGTCAACAATGCTGACTGCTTTTGACATATTCAAATACGGGTCTCAAGACACGCAACATTTCCTTACGATTTAATTGTGGTTTGTGGAATGTTAGTATCCATGTTGTGATATAGTTTATAGTACAACACTGTGTGTGTTGGTGCATTCTAACATGTAGATGGCATCTAAACCAGGGGTGGGCTGTCCTGGGCTTGGAAGGACACTGTGTCGTAACTCAGCTCTTTATTGGCTTAATTGGACCAATTTAATTTAATAGCTTGACCAGGTCTGTAAGTGTTGGTGTTTTGAAGACACCAGGAAACCTGCTGATACACCAGCCCTCCAGGACCAGGACTGGACAGCCCTGGTGTAAAAACACTGACCGGCCCTCCAGGACCAGGACTGGACAGCCCTGCTGTAGACACACTGACTGACCCCTCCAGGACCAGGACTGGACACCCTTCTGCAGACACACTGACCGGCCCTCCGGGACCAGGACTGCTCATCCCTTTTCTAAACAAACTGCGGTGTGATCCTGATGCAGCAGCTGTCGTCTGACAGTAGGGAAGGTGAAAGGAAGGGACCTGGAATGGGCCTGGCAAGGAGCAGTAGATCCAGTCAGGCAACTTTCTGCTGCATTCAGAGTCTTTTGTGTATTAGGTATGCATGTAAACCCTATCCTGCAATGAAGTGCGTAAGTGTTATTAATTAGTGGCGTCCAGAGTGGCTTGCTGGTGTCATGTTAAAATGGCAGCCAGTCTGTGAGGAACTTAATTTGATTGGGAAGCAGTTAACCTTTTACTTCTAAAATCTTACAGATAACAGACAAGAAGAGAAACGCAGGCTCTGGGACTGCAGGGCACCTGTGGAAAGTAAGAGGATGGCACAAAAGTCCTGTTTTTATCAATATCTGGCACTCAGCCCTGCTCCTTTTTTGTCCCAGCTGCACCAGGTCTTATCGGGTTTGTTTCAGTGTGCTGAACTTTGGGAAGAAATTGGATCGATTAAGCAGTTGTGATCACAGGTGGAACATGAACCAGGAGACCCTGAGAGCTCTGCAAGAGTAACCCTGGATGTGGGGTATTACCTTGCATGCTGGGTTTGAGGAGTCACCCTAGAGCTCTGAATGTTTTCTTGAGAAAGAAGGGTACAGCGGCTTCATGCCTTTATCGGCTGGTCAAGTGACAAAGTAGAAAATGTGCTTTGTAGCTCAGATCTTGTATACATGTAAAAAAGCCCTCGGATCTTGACCGAGACCCCTGACACGCAGGTGTCGGGGTGTGTTTTCAAGCTCCTCTGGCTGCTGTTGCTGAAGACGGCGCCATGCTTTTGTGATGCACAGTCGTTCCTCCGCCCCTCCAGGTAACAGGAAGCTCAAGTACATCAGCCTGGCGATCCTGGTGGTCCAGAATGCTTCGCTCATCCTCAGCATCCGCTACGTGCGCACGCTGCCAGGCGACCGCTTCTTCTCCACGTCCGCGGTCGTCATGGCAGAGGTCCTCAAAGTCCTCACCTGCCTGCTCATCATGCTGTTTCAGAAGAGAGGTGAGAGACGTCCCGCAGCTCTTCCTGTTGATCGCTGCAGGAGGGTGGCCCTCAGGCAGGCGTGCCTTGAGGCATCGATGGTCTCGAGCAGAACCTACAAACCTATTTGCCCTGTACTGCGAGCAGTCAGTATTGCTTCCACCCCCCAGCGATTTTCATCTTTAGAAGCCCCTGCTTTGCTCTAGCGTGGGGTTCAGTATCTGCTGGCGGTCAGGTTCTGCTGAGCGCAAGCGATTCGAAGCTGGATGATCCAGTACCTTAAAAATGAAAAAAGGAAAAGACACCGGAGATACAAAAGGTTACAACTAACTTTTGCAGCACGAGATAAACCCCATCAGACATGGAAGCTCTTTTATTCCTGCAGCCATAATATTGTACAGTAACACTGTACTGTGTTGTACAGTGGCACTCCTGTTGTATTTACAGTCCCATAATTGTTAAAATGTACTGAATCACTGTAATATTGTATGATGTAGCTTGTAAGATTCTGTGTTGGATTTATTGTATTTATATGTGTTGGTCTTTTTCTTGATATTGTGAAGCAGTATTGCCAAGTGAGTATATTGCTCAAGTTTGGTCAGAAGGGAGGAGGCAGTTCAGCTTATCTGGCCTGTTAGTTAGTTAGTAGCTAAGGGATCCGTAGATCTCAGCTGTACCTTGAAAGAAGGCAGGTATCAACTTGCTTGCTTGTTCCACACTCCCACAACTCTTTGTGTAATGTAGCACTTCCTGCCCTTGGTTTTAAATACACATCCCTGTAGATTTCGGTGGCGATTCCTCCAGCCCCTGTAACTCCTGCTCCGCGTGCAGCTGTCTTCCTTGCCCCCGATCTTGATCTCGCCTGTGTCTGGTGCAGGGAGCCTGCGGGATTTCGCCCTGCTGCTGTATGACTCCGTCGTCGTCCAGCACCGGGACACGCTGAAGCTCGCCGTGCCCTCGCTCATCTACACCCTGCAGAACAACCTGCAGTACATCGCCATCTCCAACCTGCCCGCCGCCACCTTCCAGGTGAGTGCAGCAGCTGCCCGCTGGCACCAGGTCCAGGAGCCTCTTGTGATTTTCTGCACCGTGCCCGCGCAGCGAGACTGGTGCCTGCTGGAATCCCACAGTGCTTTCTTTCCCTTTGTTTCCATCTCCTGCTTTTTAACATGATCCGAGGTGCAGGTAAATCTGTATAGTGTGCACCCCTAGTGTTTAGCGTTAAAAAAAGCTGGGGGGCTTAAAAAATGAGAAGGGTTTCCGAACGAGAAGAGGCCACTTGGCCCATCTAACCAGTTTAGTAGTCAGCAGCTAAATAAGCCCGGGATCTCATCCACTAGACTTAGTTTATACAAACACAACACGTTCATGTCACGTGAAGAGGCTAACATGTATGATGAGGAAGAAAATAAATGTGTATAAAGTAAATTATATAGTCAGTTGTCCAAATTGAGCAGGTTAATAGCTGTGGGGTTAAAAGGTGATGTAGTTTAATGCTCTTGAGTCCAGGCTGTCTGAACTGACGCCCTGGTGGAAGGAGGTGATTTCACCGCGCAGGCGGTGGTCATGAGTGTGATGTAGAATGTAGGAAGGAGACAACTCCAGTGTGCGACGTGGCTCATGGTCTCGTTCTAGGATTTGATGTTCCTTTCAGTTTCTGTGTGTTTTTTCCACCCCCCCAGGTGACGTACCAGCTGAAGATCCTGACCACGGCCGTTTTCTCGGTGCTGATGCTGCAGAAGAGCCTGTCGCGGCTGCAGTGGGTGTCGCTGGTCCTGCTGTTCGCCGGCGTGGCCATCGTGCAGGTCGAGCAGGAGGGGGGGCGGAAGGAGACGTCCGTGGTCGGCGAGAGCCAGAACTACGCCAAGGGGCTGGTGGCGGTGGTGGTGTCCTGCCTGTCGTCGGGCTTCGCCGGCGTCTACTTCGAGAAGATCCTGAAGGGCAGCGCGGCCTCGGTGTGGATGAGGAACGTGCAGCTGGGGATCTTCGGCACCTTGCTGGGCCTGCTGGGCCTGTGGTGGAACGACGGGGCGGCCATCGCCGAGAAGGGCTTCTTGTTCGGCTACACCCCGCTGGTGTGGGCCGTCATCTTCAACCAGGCCTTCGGGGGCCTGCTGGTGGCGGTGGTGGTGAAGTACGCGGACAACATCCTCAAGGGCTTCGCCACCTCCTTCTCCATCGTTGTCTCCACGGTGACCTCCGTCTACCTCTTCGGCTTTCACGTGGACCTCCTGTTCACACTGGGCGCCGGCCTGGTCATCGGCGCCGTCTACATGTACAGTCTGCCCAGGGCCCCGGCCGCCCCCTCGGCCCCCTCCTCCTCCGCCTCCTCCTCCTCCTCCTCGGTGTCTCACTCCAGGAACCACATGGGCGACAGCAGAGACCCGGAGGCCGACCCTTTCCTCCCCAAGTCAGTCCTGGTGAAGTGAGGTTCCCCCCCTTCCGAAACGACCGCCCCTCACCCCCGTGCTCCTCTCCCCCTGCCCTCCTCCTCCCTCTCCGAGAGCCCATCTCTTCTAACTCGCCGCCTCCTTCCTGTCCTCCTTCGTCTCGTTTCGTTTTTTAAAACCCGCTCTTCGCCGCGGCCGCGCGTGTGCTCACCTGTGTGTTTCACTCAGCTGGTTCTGGCTCGTTTTCTTTTCACGGAAGGAGAAAGAAAACAAGGAAAGGTGCAGCATCCCTGTTTTTTAGTTCTGTGCAGCTTTCATCTCCCTGCTCCGGTAGTTTTCCTCTGCAGCGTCTCCGGCCTGGGAACGTCGGCTTCCCAGCGGAGCGATCCGGCCGACAGAAACGCACGTGGAAACTGCAAGAGTGTGATCCCTGACAGCCGCTGAAACAGCGTCCTTCTTTTTTTGTCTGAAAGCTGCTGAAATCGCACTTCATAGTGCTTTGTGGAGTTTTATGTGCTCATACTTCACACTTCTGATTTGTCTTCTCTCGCTTTTAGCTTTAACGGCTGATTGCATTTTTCAAAACTCCTGTGTCAGGTGCTTGTGCAAACAGGGATTCACAGCAGGGTAAGCTCCAGGGGCATTGAGGCAGGTCTGAGACTGGGCAGTACGGGTCTTTCATGTTAGGAAGAGCTTGGCTGATCTCAAACAGACGTTTGCCTTGATTCTTACACGTCTAGAAAATGTCATTTCAGTTCTTCCCCAGAATTATATATTGAAAAAAAATGGAAAAACTAAGATGAACTCAGTTGCTCTTGTGCCATTTGCTGCAGTTTTTTTGAAGGTCTTTATTTAGCAAAGCTGTACTTTCTGAATAAGTGACCGTTTGGAAAATGATAACAGAGCTAGTCGGCCTGTGGAGCACTGCTAGTTTATGGCAGAGACCTTGGGCTCTGTGTGTGAACCTGCTACTGGACAGGACCACCCTGAGCTGCGGCTGTTCTCCACCAGACAAGCAGGTTGTGCTGCTTGCATTTCATTTGCAGTTTGAGGTTTGAGGTTCTGTTCTGAGGGGTTACCTAAGACTTATCATTCTGTCTGATGCCTTTTTTGGTTCACTCGTCTAGTGTTGAATAGGAATGTTGATGGTGCCATGGTGTGGAGTATGCTTTCATTTTCATTTGAAAAATGCAGCACTAAATCCAATCCAAAACAACAATTTGCGGAAGAAAGAAAATGTCTTCCTCGTCTATTCTTCATGGGAGACCCCTGACAGGGGTGATCATTAAACTGCAGTAAACAGCAAACGAGCACTGAGATCTTGCAAAACAGAGCACATATAAAACGGAGGTCCCATAATGAGCTAATTTAGCTTATTCAATTGAAAAGTTTTCATATTAAGGCAAAAACATGATGAGTCAAGATGCATGTTAGTGAAAGAGCCTTTTCTGTCTTTGGTGTCTGAACTGTGAATTTGGGCTGTGCCACTGCTTTCTGCGCTCACTTCCTGGTGGTGGGGGTGTCAGAAAAGCACGCTGTGGCCATATGACCCCCCCCCCAGGAGTGCAGGGGCTCCAAACATCACAGCTACACTCATGATCAAAGGCACCCGTGTCAGTGTCAGATGCTCCTTTTAGATAGAATTCCACTGAATCGGGAATTCAACCAAAAATTATTTTGCTTTTCAGCTGAAAGCCCGTTGATACCTTGTACTGTAGCATTTTCTCCTTTGACACAAGATGGTGTCGTGCCCTTGAAGTACCTGAGCTAAAAAACAAATGCTGTGCCTTTTCTGGAACCTCAATGATATGTATAGTACTAATCATTGTTAATATAATAACATGGAGAATATATATATATGGAAAAAACTACTGGGTTAAAGGTCAAGTGTGCTGGACTAAAGTGGATTTTTCATCTTTTTTCTTCCACATATGGGGGAGGGAGTATTTTTCTATGCAGGAATATTTTAAACTTATATTCAGAATCAATTTAGGGAGATTACTGTATTATCTTCATATCTTTACATGTGTGTAACTGCTGTTAAGAGTTGCTTATAGGTTTTAAACTGGACATTGCAGTAATAAAGAGGTAAAGAAGGCAGAACACAACTTGCAGAAATATCCTGCAGCAAAGGCATCCATTATGGACACATGTAGGAAAACACAAGTCTGTGATTCTGCAGCATTTGTGAAGGTGAAATATAGTATTTTCACTAATAATGGTGAAATACAGTCCCCTGTATAAGCCTGTATAAGCTAATACAGGCTACACTTGGTGATGGCATATTTTTGAACACAAGCTGCTGTGTTTTTAAATTTATATAGTACTGTTATTTCTAATGTCAGGACCTTTCTTCACAGTGGGACAACACTGCCCCCAATGTCTTTCAGCGTGAGCTGCTGATGGCTTTGTTGTCCAGCCTCAGAAATCTTGTAGCATTGCCTTTCAGAGTGAAGACACCCTTTTTTTTCATTAAGTGGAAAGGGGGGCCTGCTTCTGGAAATGCTGGGTAAAAAACTAGTATTTAGGCAGGCTGTTCTGTGAAGATCTTGTTTATTTCTTTGTATATCTCTCTGAGTCACAGTAATAATAAAAAAAATAAACCTAGAATTTATGTAGTACGAACCAAAAGCACTTTATAGGAAGTAATCTTCCCTCTGAAGGATCAGCACCAGCAACTGAATGAGCCATCCAGTACAACAGAGAACCAGAGTAGGCCAGCTTGATGGTGCAGTAGACTGGGAAGTGTGTGACAGGCTGGGCCATCTGATCAGTTTGTGCTTCAGAGCTGATGCTGGTCAGTTTTTGCAGAGCTCCCAGATGTCCTTATGACAAACCAGCTCTTTGCTTTCCTTCGTCCACCCATTACACACTTCTCTTCTACACAGCCAGGTTCACTTTAGGTCCGTTGTTTTGCACACTTGATCATTTTAGTTTGATTCAGTTTTACGGAAGTACACTACTGCTCTTGTTGGGGAAGACAAGAATGATACCGGATCATCAGATTCAATGGATATTATTATAGACCTTTTTTGCTTTACACCAGTTTGTTTTCCTGATGTGCATGTGATATTTTTTTTTTAAAAGGTGCAAGACTCTTGCTTTCCTCCCCTCCTTCTCTCTTGGTTTGCTGTTTCGGTCTTGGGTTGTGTGTTTGCTTCTGTTTCTGAGCTTGCCTCTTGAACTGAGTGAAGATGTGACCGGTCTGGGAAGATGAGCTGTATGAAATGAACTTGAGATGGTTCCCTGGATGGGCTCTTCCTCAGTCCGTTCCCCGGTTATACTGCAGATTAAGACAGAGCTCTATCCCGCCTGCCATTGATAAAATTCCCAGAAGTGCCAGTTGGTGCCAGTGAGCTTTCCTCCACACTTTGGGATTCGTGTTCGCTGGGCCTCTGCTTTCTGCCTCGAAAACGACGAGGGGTTCATTCGCTAAATTTAAATGAACAACCAGTTTAATCAGAACTGGAACTCCAGTTAGAACTGGGTGTGGATTTGGATCTAAAAAAGTTGAGGACTTTGCATTGGCTCATACTTGGCTAACACAAGGTTACAGCCACCTCTGGCAGAGAAGAAGATTTGTTTTTCCCAAAATTGTTCTAATTAAGTGGAATAATGTTTGTAATTAAGCGAGCTAGACGTGGGACGTTTCACCTTTTATGATGTAAGAACACATTTGTGCTGTGAATGAAAGCAGTGCACAAGTTTATCCAGCTCCCACTCAGATCTTAGTGATCTTAGATCAGCTCTTCTCAGTACAGTTACACCCGATGAGTGCTTTGAACACTGTTCTGCACTTCTAAATTTGCAAACAATGTGTGATTTGACCTTAGAGATTCAGAGCACAATGCTCTGTGGCTCCATCTCCCTCCTTCTGATGTTCTGGTTTTCCAGGTTTAAAATTCCAAACTTTTACACACAAGTACCAGTGGTCAGTCTTGTCTTTCTTGGTAGACTACAGATTCTGTTTTCTTTGAAAGAAAGATGATCATGGCATTAACTGGTGCTTGTTAAGTAAAGGAATTATCCACAACTGCAGATACTCTGTTTTTAAGGGAGAAAATATTCTGATTAATGGGTTGTATTGGAGCACTGAAGATATTTAGCCAACAGTAAGTACTTCATGGGGGTAAAGACGGTATGTGAGACTGGTGTGGATCTTGAACTCTCTTGACAACAGCCTGCTTATTCTGCAGCAGGAAGTGCAGCCAAGCTCTGGCTGCAGCTGTCAGTTAAGAATCCAAACCGCCTGTAAGCCCGACCACAGCAGAAACCGGATCAGGACTGCAGCTTGTGAACGGTGACCTGTACATGTGTTTTGCTTCTGTTCCTGAAAATGTGGAAAGGAGGGTTTATTCATTTTTAGTCCTGACCAGGTAGTGTGTTTGTGCTCTGTGATGACATGGTGTTCAGACCAGGATGGGTGTGTGTGTGTAGGTGGGAGGGTGGGTGTCTGTGGGTGTGTGTGTGCGCGCAACTTGTGGTTGCCTGGTGTCCTGTCTGGGGTATGTCTGTGCTCTGTGATTGCCTGCTGCAATGGCAGCTTCCTGGTAATGGATGGATAGAAATTATTAGGAGTTTGGTTGGACCAGAATCTATCAGACTCTCCATGATCAGAAGTCTCCTTTTCTGTCTAAATAAAATACAAAATCTAAACCGATTGTGTAGAAGTTACAGTGTAGGTCAGCCTTTTTAATGAGCTTCGGCTTTGTCAAAGTAAAGCAAAATACTCATCCTTTAATGAACATCAACTAACTACCGAATGCTACAAATGACATCCAGAATTGTTTTGCCTGCTAAAGTGTGAAACGGCCATGGCTCGTGGGGTGACCTTTCACCCTGGTGAAGCAGCGTGCACTCAGAGCAGAGCTGCTTTCCTTTGCCCTCTCCCAGAGCTGGGGTAGTAGGACCTGTAGTAGGAAGCACTTCTTTGCAATAGGAATCTTGTGTTCTTGAAATACTATAACTGCTTCACAGGAGCCTCAGTCTTAAATGGGTCTGGTAATGGAGGTTTCATAGTTAGAATGAGCATTCAAGTGCTGTGCTGTCGTTCTGGCAGTGGTGCTCGTTGTGTCATTAGATTAATCATCTTTTTCCTGGCAGCTCTGTTGCACTGAGTGCTGCTGGTCCAAAAAGAGCTGGTATTGTAATGTCCTCTAGGGAGAAAAACGAGCAGTCAGAACGTCTAAATCGGTGCAGCTCATAGATGAGCTTAGATTTTCCACATTGGCAAAGGATGAGCGTCACAGCTTTCTTGCTCCTGGGGGAAACATTGTGCCTCCTTTTCCAGAGTGAATTGGGTATGCGTACAAGTTCAGATTTTGCGAAGAGACAGGAGGCGTCTGTCTTTTTTCAGTCAGGCATGTGGCATGAACCCTAGAAAACCAAAAGGTTTGAAACGTGGAGAGTTTAGTAAGTCTGGAACACTGAATGTCGCAGGCGGTGTACTAGTTTTCAAGACGCGTCTGTCAGATTGAATTTCAAATCCATTCTACACCAGCTTGAATGGACTGCTCTTCGTGATGCACCTGGGTATTAACAGCACAAAATGGTTTGTAGAACAGACAGGATCCTGACCAAGAGAAGGTTCTCCTCTAATTTGGAAACTTATAATAAAGCTATACAGCTCAAATTCAGCTTGAACTCAAAAGAGCTGTGATTATCTGTGGGGAGAAAAGCATTTTTTGCTTGCCATCGCTATGCTTCATTACATAAATACAAGTAGGGTAAACAATAGGGAACAGAGGTATCACCTTCTGGGATCAATGGTTAAGCACAAGTTTCTAGATTTACATCTTCCTCTCCTTCTTTGTCTTGATATAGAGGTCTAAGTTTGAACAAGTAAAATGAGCTGCAGCAAACATCCGGATGAGGATTTGTGTTCTTTAGTACCCTAGCAGCCACATGTGCTAAAGACATATTTGTCCCGAGCTTGTATGATGATCCCTGCCACATTTACTACATTTCTTTTTCTGGGTCTATTTTTGTAGCTTATTTGTGTGTTTTTGTGAAAAAGATGCATGTTCATGTGTGGAAGAGGCAAGCAATTCTTTGTTCACAAAAATGTGTTCAGAGTAACTGGGTTTCACTTTTTATTTGAAATACTTTGTGTGTAATTTATGTAAAAAGATTATGTTGATTATATTTTTTGTTAAAACTGGGAGATAATGAAGTGTTTTTATTTTTACTTGAAAAAGAAAAGAAATGCTTGTGCCTTGTAATATTGAGAATTAATTTGCATTATATGATGAAAAGCAATGAAACCAAAAGAAAAGAGAGAGAAAACAACATCAACAGCAGCGTGTGCTTGTTTTATTTCCTTGCCACTCTCAGGCACGTGGGCGAAAACGAGCGTTCTGGGCTTCACCGCACCAAATCGGACCTTTCTCTCGCCGCCTGACATCAGACAAGATAGGGGAAATTACATCTGGGAAGAATTACACCTTACAATAAATCTTCAGACTTTAAGAAGTTCTGCTGAATCTGCTGTCATTTCCCCAAAACTCCTAACGTCTGAAAGGTTTCTTCATGATCTGATTGTAAGAAACACGACAGCTGGTTAGTCAGGATTTCAAACCAGGAGCACAGAGTTACATCCTAACGCTCCATTCCTCCACTGTGGTAGCGTGAGCTCGACGGAGACACTGTCTCGTGGTCATGGACTTTAAAGAGGCTGAGGGAGAGCTCTCTTATTTCCTCTTTGCTCTCCTTTTAATCTTTAAAGGATGGGGCTGGGGCCCTCATGTCTGTAAACGCCCTTGTAAAAGGTTAATCAGTTGGTGAGTCACAAGCTCTAATTCAAGCTTGTGATTCTTCACACCTGGGAAAACTCTAGTCTTTCACCACTCTTTCCTGTGATTTCTAGAGCCCTACAAAATCCTAGGTCAATGAAATAGTCCCGGCCACATAAATAAAGACGTAAGTACAATAAACAGTTTTTTCCAGGTCTCTTCACAGTAAAGATCTTTCACGGTGTCCTGAAATTACAGAGGATCTAATGGGTGAGAATGTAGGGGGAATTTAGACAAAATACTTAAAATTCTGCTAGAAAATTGCTGACAGGCTTCGAAGGCGACGGGTTCACAGGAGATGACTAAAAGACACCCAGTACGCCCATTGCACAGCAGCGTGGGCTATTACGTGTGATTTATCAACTGCTGGTATGTGGTCATTTAGGTCTGTAATTGAGACATCGTTTACTGCCTCAGCAGTGCAGCCCGTGCACCAGTGATCAAGCCACGAGGGATCAAGGATGTGTCTGTGCTCTGGGGGTGTTATCTGTGTCTCTGGAAGAGGAGGCCTGATGCAAGCACGGCTGAGGAAGAATTTCTTGTTCTAGCTGTTTGACCTGGGCTGCTTGTGTTGGCATTTCTCCACTTTAAGCGCTGTAAAGAACACAAATCCAAGGAAATCTCCTTTCATATCCATTGATTTTACAAAGGATCTGCTGTCCTGTAACAAAGCACTTTCGAACAGTTTTAGTGTGTGAATAGTTGGTTGGCACAGCTTTGCCATTAGTAAAAATGACTTACAATGACCCGATCCTGTCTTTCTGCAGGGTCCTTGTGTGCATTATGCTTGCTCTGTGAGAGCTGAATTATCTTTTAATGTGTTAGCTGAGCACCGTCCACAGAGAACACAGCTGGAGGATACTTGTACGGGTTTATATGAAGTCTGTAAGTCTGTTTTTTTAAGATCTGGAAAAAAAAAAGTAATTCAAAAGATTTATAAGCGCAAGGCGGTCTTTTCAGTTTGTGATTGTCCATCTCCCTCTATTGACTCCTCATGACTCATTGAGCCATGAAGGTTTCCACTGCAGGGTCACCCTCAGTCAGAAACGGGATGATAGAAATGTTCACAAATCTAATCTAAACTAACTTCTCATTCCTTAAGTCCCTAGCACTAAAATCCCCACTTCTTTTAACGATTTAACTTCATTTCTAAATCACTGTGACCCTGTTTAATCTTTTGCATGTTTCCTCTTGGATGTGATGAAGTGTTTTTCTTTTTGTAAATGTATTGTTCAGTGTTTCATGTTTTCAGTAAACAAGGTAATTGGATTTTCTTACTGTCAGACCAGTATATGACATAGATCAGGTTATGACAAAAACTGTGACTGAGTCTATACGCAGGTCTGGCCTAACAGTTGCAGGAATGGGATCAGGCAGCCAACCTTTCATTCGAAACAATGTGGCAGTCTTAATGCCATACTAACACATCTTGCGTGGCATGTTCCAGTCGGACCTGTTGAACTGGACGTGGCTTCCTGACGAGTGTGTCTTCTCCTCTGCTCACAGGCACCTGGGAAAGGAAAAAGGCTGCTGATGATTGGTCAGAGTTCTGAGGAGTGGGGCAGGGCCGCTACCCAAACAGTCCCCCCCTGATCACGTGACACAGAGAGCAGCTGGAGGGGCGAGTTTGAAATCACACGTACCTTCAACTCAGCATTGATTGTTGGCTCAGATCACTGGGCTGTGAAGCCTTCCTGGTTGAAGAAGGAGGTGAGTCTTTCAGCAGGGAAAAGAAGCACCTCCCATGTGATGCCTTAATGAAAAGAAAAACTCTGATGCTACCAAACGTGTTCATCATTATTTTTCTAATCAAGATTCCATGTATTCTTAAATCCTGCTTTTGGCTTGCACTCTAAACTCCAGCTGATATCCAAAAGGTCGTCTCTGAAATATCCACGTGTACTGGACAATGTATGACAGGGAGGGTATGTCGGTTCTGCCTAAATTTTATTGCTCTTTCTAAGCAACTACTGCATTCACAATAGCTAAAACGGACAGGTCAGGGGTTCAGGGGTTGCAAGTGTGCAATGGAAGGGCCAGTTGTGTGTTTTTCACATCTCCACTTCAAAAACGGTCAACTGGGACAGTTTCCATCTGGCTTCCAAACTGTCAAGCGCTGTGGCGTGCTCCTTGTGGAAGTGGCGTGGTACTGTCTCTTTTGTCAGGGTTTGTATGACTCCAGAACAGCAGAAGGGTTGTAAAAGACAGGAGGCCGTTTTAGCTTGAACTACTGGTTTGGCCTCACCCAGCCGCTCCTCGAATGGCCCTGCCTTTAATGCCTTAGCCTGGCGGTTGGTTCCAGGAGCAGAGGGGAAATTCAGCGTGAAGACGTGCCACCTGTTCTCTGTCCTGAAGGCAGGCCCAGTGCATGCGATTTGTTTTTGTATCTGGTTCAAATCCCCCAGCGATCTCCTTTATTCAGAACTAAAGAGAGGTGGTTGCTCTAACCTGTCTGTCGTGCTATACCACTGGCACCAGCTGCGTCACGGACAGTATGAGGCAAGAGCAGGTGTTGCACTTCTGCATCTCTGTTAGTGGAGAATGCACTTTGCCCACTCGACAGTGTTATGGGTCAACGAAACAGCTGTCGCTTTTGTAAAGCTATGGAGTGAACATGGGTGTCTCGAGTGTATGTTTTTAATAATAATGTCTTATAATCTGAACAAATCAACAAAGAACAGTTTTGCTGCCTAAACCATTTCGAAGTCACCTGTGCAAAATCTTTATTGTAAAACCTAGCTCTCATTTCAAACACTCCGGACCTGAACTCCCCAGGTGAACTTTTCTAGCAGGCTTGGAGATGGTGGGCTAAGTGCTCTGGCTGGAATGACCTTTATGCTGATGTACAAATTCTGGAGAAAAAAAAAAATCATCACCAGTAATGTTCAGCATTGTAAAGCACTCCAAAAATACCTTTTCTGGCTCTCATTTCTATGTATTGATGTGTTGTATCTGCTCCTCCAAGAACGAGAGAGAGAGCAAAGACGTTTGACCACAGCTCTAGTCTTGTGGTTTGGGTACATACAGCTACAGCGTTGTAAGAATAGTTCTTGTATTTTTCTGAAGTTTTATACTAAAAAAAATCCATACATGATAATACAATACAATACATACAATGATAAGTTAATACTTATGTCTTAACTATTAAAACAGCGCTAGTACCTCAGACCGATGCTTTCCAGTGTACCGCAGTGTTTCGTAGTGAAGTAGCTTTTTACAGACGCTCACATGTAATTGGCCAATTTGACCAGCAGAGGTCTCTGTTTTACTACATTCGTTCCTATACACTAAAGGCCATTTTCGTTTGGGTGTTACTGAATAACTTAAATTACTTTGGATTTAATAATAATAATAATAATTGCTTACACTTATATAGCACTTTTTTCTGGACACTCCACTCAAAGAGCTTTACAGGTAATGGGGATCCCCTCCACCTCCACCAGTGTGCAGCCCCACCTGGATGATGTGACAGCAGCCATAGTGCGCCAGTCCTCTCCCCACACAGCAGCTCTCAGAGAGCAGAGTAACGAAGCCAGTTCAGAGAGGGGGGTTATTAGGAGGCCATGATTGGTAAGGGCCAATGGGAAATTTGGCTAGAATGCTGGGGTAACACCCCTACTCTTTTCGAGAGACACTCTGGGATTTTTAATGACCACAGAGAGTCAGAACCTCGGTGTTATATCTCATCCAAAGGATGGTGCCTGTTTACAGTACAGTGTCCCCATCACTATACTAGGGCATTAGGACCCACATGGACCACAGGGTGAGCGCCCCCTGCTGGCCCCACTAACACCTCTTCCAGCAGCAGCCTTAGTTTTTCCCAGGAGTCTCCCATCCAGGTACTGACCAGGCTCACACCTGCTGAGCTTCAGTGGGCTGCCAGTTGTGAGCTGCAGATATGGCTGCTGGCTGATTTGACTTGGAGACACGTGTTCTGCTGACAGTTGCATGCACACAGCTCTCCAGACTATAAGCTGCACAAACATGTGATGCACGAGGGAGAAACATATATTTTCAATACACTACTATCACAGTTTCTGATGCCATTTTAAGAAAAGTGATCTATATACTATGTATATATTTACACAAAATTAACTGTTCAATACTCTTCTAGTCAAATTATATTTTTTACTTAAGAGGGTATACAACCGAAATTACGTCGTCAACACAAATTAGTTTTAAAATTATATTTTTCTAACTATTTTATTAACTCTATATTATTAAACTCAAACGCAATGCAAGACCATTGTTTTTGTCCACTGGATTTCACCTCTGTTCTATTGTACTTAGCAATTTTGCAAAGATGTGTTTCTTTATGCAAACTTACTCAGTTCAGGTACAAAAAAATAACACAGCACAAAATTCGTCAGATAAATTCTTTGCTTTTGTGGATGCTTATTCAAACAGACACTGTTTTGCAGATTTTGTTGAAGGAAGATTGTTTTACTTGGTGAACCAACACAGGGTTTACTATGTCTGTTACAAATGGCATCATGGTTAAAAGACATTTAACCTTCAGTTTCCCTGACTGTGTCTGGGTAGTGGCCTCTCCTCATTTTTCAAATGACTGGCTTGGAAGAGCTGTGACAGAGCAGCCTTCTAATCATTTATATTTAACATTAATATATATATTTTATTCTGTAACCTGTATATTTGTAGAGCCCAGTGAACACATTTTGTAGCTGCCAGTATTTAATCCTAGACTGAATAAGCAACTTTTAGAAAAGTATTTTAAGTGAATCCTTGAATATTTATTGACTAGGGTCACTTGACATTTCCAGAATGCTGGCCTGTTTTGCAAGGTTTGCAGTATTAGGTCTCTTTAGTGGTGCTTGCAATTTTACTGACAGTATTTGTCTCTGATTTGTCCTTATCTGTTTATGTCAAGACTTGGAACTGTTTCTGGAGTGAAGGAAACAGCTGTTCTGTAACTGTTATCATTATTGTTAAATTGTTTTTTTTTTCTGTATTGCTGAATGTAGTTAGACCTCAGTGCTTCTGTCAGATCACTGGGATGCAAACATAATGTATGCTTTACTGACACACAGAGACTTTAAAACCCTTTTCAGAACTTGCATTTGAAGGAGTCTTGTAAGAAAGCCTTTAATAAAAAAACAGCTTGTTGTGTCAAACATGTTTTGTGTAATATGTTTATCAGATTTTCTACCCCTGTTACATCTTAGCAAAGGGAAGGCAATTTCTATCAAGGTGACAAAGTATCACAATCCTGGCCAGAGGACGAGGAGGCTGGGACCCCCTGCGGACTGAGGGGGGCCCAGGGGCGGCTGCAGGGGGAGGTGGGGAGCAGGAGGGGTGCAGGAGGCGTGTGTGAGGGAGAGGGGGGGACCTCGTCCGGTCTTTATAGTGCTTCAGGAGAGGAAATGACATCACGAGTGACTGCTAATTACTGACAGCTGAGTCTGATTGTACTGGGCTGTTGTCATCCATCCCAAACTTTCGTTGTGAACTCCATTCATTAAATTAGTCTGTGCAGCACAGGTGTGGCTCCTTTTCTGTTCAGTTGTATGGATAGTATATTTTCTGCTTTGTCAACCTTTTCTCTGTGTTTTTCTGCCTCCTATCTGGAATGTACAGGGTGAATTAATCCTTTCAAGAGTCATTTACCCTAATTCAGTGCTTATATGAAGGAGTACTCTCTCAGTGGTGCCTACCAAGAAAATCTTCTTTCATCCATGCGATGTAAATTATTGTCCAGGAAAAGATCATTTGTTCCAAACCCCTGAATAATCCTTATTTTTTATAATCCCTCTCATCACTTACGTCATTTTGCTGTTCTCCCGTCATTCACCGTGGGCTATTAAAGCAATGCTCCTGGCAAGAGCACTTTGTGTTCTCTGAAGCGCTGGTTTCCTAATTCTAATGTTCTCAAGTACAGCACGTACACATGATAAACGTCAGGTGATGATTTCAGATCCTCACAACTCTGTGCGTTTCATTAGAAAAAAAAAACTTGAGCCGCACCTGCAAACATCCTGCAGGATCAGAATTCCGTATCCTGTAGAAATATTTGTTTTTTCTCTTCGGTAAATTTTAGGATCCCTAAAACAGACCGTCAAGATAAATGTATGGTTCTTGTTGACAGCGTTGTATAACATCTGTAAGGGGCAGAACATACATAGGTGCGCATTCCAAAACACGTATGCACATACTAGAAATTAAGAAGTGAACCCCGAGAAGTGGAAATTAAGATTCCGCATTCTGTTTATACAGCTCTTCATTGCCACCATGAGGTGATACAGCAATACTACCATTCAATACAGTATTTTTATTTTTTGGCAGCTTGCCACGCCCCCTCGTTTTTCTCCTTCCGGGGTTATGTCGTGTCTCTGGCTTCTCCTTCCCGGGTCAGAGTTCAGTGTTTGCACTGTATGGTCTGTTGATGAGCTGGAGTTTGCAGACAGGACATTCCCGGAGCAAAACTGAGAACAGAGTATTTTGTATTACAATACAATAAGGACTCGACAACCTAAAAGCTCAACGGCGAAAACAACGAAAGCTCATTCATCAGTGGAGAAAGGTGAGTGTCACGGCAATGACTCTGCGTTTGTGAGTGATTTAATGATGAAACGATGGGAGTGAAGGTTTAAATTAGCTACGTCGCAATAAAATGTTTTGTGACGTTTAATCACCAAGCCACTTAACACTATAATTAATTATGCCTGTTTATGATTATAAAGCTTTTTAATTTAATCAGCTAAATTACTGATCTCATTGCATGTAATGTCGTCACTTACTGCTGACCAATCCGAAATGTCACATGAACGCATAAACGCAGTTCTCTAAAAAGGGCGTGGTGTGGTTGACTACCTTCATACTTCGAATACAAAAGTAAGATATTGAAACAGCTGTGTGCATTTTCATAATTTTAATATTTCACCACCAGTTTCGTGATCCGAAGAGAAGAGTTCAGGAGGCGTGTTCGCTGTTATCAGTCGCGCAGTTTCGACAGTGCTCTGTGCTGCGGACTTCAGCCCGGAACTGTAGACTTGGCTCCTGACGGGATATATGTTCAGTGCCTGGAGTCGCTACCTTTCTCGCCCTGTGGGAACTGATACTTGGTTTCTATCGGTGCAAAACAGGTGCCCAGCCATTAGAAAAACAAAAGACAAACATCCACAATTTGCAGTTTCTCTTACAGTGTCGGAATATTAATACAATTTCATAGACGGCACAGACCTGTTTATGCAATAAGGCTAAAGAGGGATATTTATATATATATATGCGTTAGTGTAATTTAAAATTAGGGCGACAGCACCTGGGATTAGGGCGGATACTAACTAAGTTTAACGTCTCTATGCAAATATGTGAAAAGGGTGACCTGTTTGAAATAGGCAGCCCCTGATGAGGGTTAATTTGAAAGCCTGCTGCTAATGTTTGAAGCCAGCCATGGCGCTGTGGAAGGGGCGGGAGCTTTGGTGCGTATGTAGGGGGGTGGGGCTTATAATGTTACGTAGTCGGATTGGACAGCAGCGTAGGGGCGGGGTCTGTGGTGTGCGGTGGTTTGTTTTCCTGGGCTGAGTCTAGATCAAACTAAATCAAATCCAAGGTGCCCAGCATTTCATGATGTTGATATTAAGAAATCTGTAATGATAACAAAAACAACTCCCAGCTTCCAAATCACCCTGCACCTCACAACTGGCAGCCCCCTGAAGCTCAGCAGCTGTGAGCCTGGCCAGTACCTGGATGGGAGACCTCCTGGGAAAGCTCAGGCTTCTGCTGGAAGAGGTGTTAGTGGGACCAGTAGGTTGCGCTCACCTTACAGTCTCTGTGGGTCCTAATGCCCCAGTTAAAGACAGGGGCACTATACTGTAAAAAGGCCCAGATGAGACGTAAAACTGAGGTCCTGACTATGGTCATTAAAAATCCCAGGGAGTTTCTCGAAAAGACTAGGGATGTTATTCCAATGTCCTGGCCTTTACCAATCATGGCCTCCTAATAACCCCCATCTCTGATCTGGCTTCATCACTCTGCTCTCCTCCCCACTGAGAGCTGCTGTGTGGGGAGAAGACTGGAGCATCATCCAGGTGGGGCTGCACACTGGTGGGGATGGAGGGGATCCCCATTTCCTGTAAAGCGCTGTGAGTGGAGTGTCCAGAAAAGCGTTATATAAGTGTAAGAAATTACTATAAATTATTATGAGATTTCTTTAACAAGTGAACACCCTGTTTTCCTGTTCCGTGGCCTGACAGGAGATGGCGCCGTTGCACTGCTGTGGGCCTGAGACTGATCTCCTGTGGCAGTTGTGCTCAGTGGAGCTGGGTGTGAACAAGCCCATTACAATGCACCCCCACTGTGAGTTGTAGGCAGCAGTAATGAGCACCCTGGGCCCTGGTTTTCGCTAACGCCTTTTTAGCAACCCCAGAAAACAGGACGTGCTTTACAGCTGTGGCCCCAGCACCCTTCTTGATGGCTCCCTGTGGCGATCTGGCCTTCGCAGCACCTTGCCCCCGGCCCCCCCGTTCAAGGGTTGTGACGGTGCCTCTCGTGTCCCCCGCAGCGTGAGAGCCGACAGCCCGAGACGATGAGTCTGCAGTGGACGGCCGTCGCCACCTTCCTGTACGCGGAGGTCTTCGCCGTGCTGCTGCTCTGCGTGCCCTTCATCTCCCCGACCAGGTAACCCCCAGCTCGACCGCTGCGGACATCTTCCAGCAGGCCCAGCGGAAAAACACCCGAGAGCCCTTTCCTGCTGTGTGCTTGTGGACCGAAGGCCAGAGAATTGTCAGAAAGGACAGCAGCTCCCGAGCCTGTCCGGTCAGAGAGCGAGCAGGACTAAAGGACAGAGGAGCCAAATTCTGGGCAAGGGCGGACTGATTGTGCATCATCATTCGCTGTGAAAGCCTCTAGATGTTGTGCATCAGAATTAAGCGAGAGTGCTGAGCTGCGATTGAAAGGCTGTTAGAATGGAAACGGGTTGTGCATATTCATCTGAATTTAATGGTTGAATGTTTCCATGGTGGTTAAGGTGTTGTTCCTTGTTTGCCCACTTGCTCATATTGTGGACTTACTCCGTGCTTTCTGTCACTATACAGCTGTGGGGACTGAAGCAGTTGCCTTTGTGACTTTGTTAGAAAGTACAACACAAAAGGGAACCTATGTGGAACTGCCCCTTCCCTTTTCAGAACAGCTTTCAGTTTAAGAACCTGTGCATTGCTAGTGTTATGGGGCAGCTTGCTGCAGAACTCAGCTCTTCCCCTGGTGGGCCTTGTGCAGCTCTCATGTGCGTGCGTGTGTGTGTGTGAGAGAATGTGTGTGTGTGGGCGCACGTGTGTGCATGCTCAGAGTTGCATGCTGCAGCCAGTTCCTCACAGTCTTGTCTGTCTCCCTCTGGCAGATGGAATAAGATCTTCAAGTCTCGTCTGGTGAAGGCCATCACAACATACGGCAACACCTACTTTGTGGTGCTGATCCTCATTCTGGTCTTTCTGCTCATTGGTGAGTGTTGCCGACCCTAGTGGCAAGGAGGAGGAGGTGCCGGGGCGTCCTACCCTACTACAGGGGCTCCTTGATTGCAGTTCTGGCTGTTAAAGAAGTAACTGTAGAGCAGGGCTGCTGAAGGTGTGACTCTAAAACCGGATTCTTCATTAACTGATTGTTGTCAGGATCAATTTAATAATTAATGAGCTGGTTATATGAAAGCGCATAACAAGGGTTGCAAAGCAGAGGAGGCGATTTGGCCCGTTGAGCACGATAAACAGTGGAAGTCTGTGTCAGGGAGTCTGTCCCCTGTCTCTCTGATGTCTTAGGCACTGACATCACCCTTGTGTCTGCGAGTGATGTTGGGCAGATGTGTGTGAATTAGAAACCTGGAGTTCTCTCTCTGACTCCGTGTTTCCGTGCCCAGATGCCGGGCGGGAGGTGAGGAAGTACAGCGTGACGGAGAAGGTGGATCTGACCAACAACCCGGTGGCTGTGGAGCACATCCATATGAAGCTATTCAGGGCCCAGAGGAACCTGTACATCGCTGGATTTGCTCTGCTGCTCTGGTTGTGAGTATCTGGTTGTGAACACGCCCCTCAGCCCTAGCCTCCTTCATACTGAGGACCACGCCCCCCAGCCTGCCTTATTCTCACAGGTGGCCACGCCCCCAGCCTGCCTTATTCTCACAGGTGGCCACGCCCCCAGCCTCCCTTATTCTCACAGGTGGCCATGCCCCCAGCCTCCCTTATTCTCACAGGTGGCCACGCCCCTAGTTTCACACCCCATAAGCGTTTCTTGTGCCCTTTGACCCTATCCAGAAAAACAGAGAAAAAAAATCTGTAAATTAAGGTGATGTTTGGCTTTTGTGATCCCTGTAACGCCATCCCAAGCATGCTGGCCCACTTGATCATCCAGCTATTCAAGCCTGGCCGCAGGGTGGTCAAAGAAAAACATGCTGGACAGAAAAAACATCCATCTTGCACAGAAACCCCTCGGATGAATAAAGATTTCCGGACAACAGACTGAGAACATGATAGGAAGGAGATTCAAATTACAGCTCTGTCTCTCAGGCAGCTTTATTTATAAAAATAGCTTTTCGAAATTCATTTTGCCTCGACTTAGGAAAGGTGGAGCAGCTGGAGAAAGAATCCTTTAAAGTCTGTTGTGATTTTGTGGCCAGTAACTGCTGTGATCTGCGCGGCCCTGTCTTTCAAACTGCATTTGCCAGTGAGCTGCAGGGTGTTTGACCTGGAGGACTGCCCCCTGCGCACCAGGCTGTCCTGCAAAATCATTTTCTCTGCCTGTTAGACCCCCACATGGTTGGGCAGTCGCCAGGAGTTTACAGTAACCCATGGAAATCGAGCAGCGTGAGTGAAGGGATTCAGGGATTTTTCACATCGCAGGTCCTGGTGAACATCGATATCCCGAGACTCAAACGCTGCTGTGCTTTTAAATCAAGTCAGATCCGCATGTCATCTCCATACAGGGGCCCTGTGTCACGTTCCTCTGACTAATGCTTTATTAATAGACTGCAGACCCAGTACTCGTACCGTTCCAGCCACTGCTGCTGCAGCAGCTGCTTCCACCAGCTGCGGTCCTGGACAGCTGTCCGGTTGTGAGGAGGGGCTGCTTGTGCCCAGGCGCCCAGAGCCGGGGGCTGTCTCACGTGGGTCTGTAAAGAGCTGCCACCACACTGCAGCCAGGGAGGCATGTCAGGGTAGCTTAAGCAGGCATGCCCAGCATTTCCACGCAGTTCCTGGTTTGTGCCTTTGGAGGCTGCAGTGTGTCTCAATTGCCTCCTCTCCAGCTCCTGGGGGGAAGGTCTTTTCCCATTATATAGGTGATCAACTACCTTAGCCACTTCTCATACCAGCAGGTTACGCAGTGCAACAACATTAACTAACTTAAACCAACTGGAACTGTACAGAGAATTTGGAGGCTGTTTGCTCTGATTGCAAGTGCCTTTTTTTAATACCTGGGTTTTAGTTATGTATAAATGCGAACTGATGGCTTGAGCCGGACTTAGAAACCAGTACCTCTACGGTTTAAAAAGTAAACCATCTGCCTGACGCTAATCTGTGTTCCAACATGAAGACGTGGCTCTTCTGTGAATTATTTGTGCAACTGGATCTCTGGCTAAGAATTTGGCAGCCCTGCTCGCTGGCACGGTGAGCTGTAAGAGAGAAGAACATGCAGAAGGTGCGATTTCCTAGAAGGGCTCCACACTCTCTGGGAAGCACAGCACCCTATCCGTCACCTTCCCCAGCCGGATCGCAGGGAAACAGCTGGGAAAATGAGCTTTCCTGCTGTGTTCGGCTGTCATGGCGGCCATGTTCCCCTCGTCAAGGGACAGCGTACTGCCCCCGTCTTGTTACCTTGCAGCAGAACACAAGGGGTATCGAAAGGAGAGCAGTGTTTTCCTCGTTGCTTTATAGTGTTACCCCGCAGTACTGGCAGAGCTTCTTCTCAGTGTGCACTAACATACTGCTGCCTCTCATTAAACCACACTTATTTTTGCAGTTTATCAATCCATGCTCTGCATCCCCAGTTTATGCTTAGGACCCCTTGGATGGTGTCCCATAACTTCATTAGTTCCTCTGCTTCCACACACTGTGTCACTTTTTTAGGTTTGATCCAGTTTAGTTTCGGAAGGGTTCACAGCCAACCCCCATTGCAGTTAGTACAGGTTTTTTTTGGGGAAGGAACTGATTTGTGATAAAGTTTTTGAAAAGACAAGGAAACCCACGCGAACAGTTTGGGTGGTAGACGAGACCGCACACGGGTGGCAAGGGGGTCCTCGCAGCGCTGGGGCCCTGGACTTGGGGTGCTGTGTGGGTGGAGTTTGCGTGTTCTCTCCACGTTCGCGTGGGTTTCCCCCAGGTGCTCTGCTTTCCTCCCATAGTCCGAAGACATGCTGGAGGGTTAATTAGCTTCTCAGAAAGCTGGCCCTGGGGAGAGAGTGTCTGTTTGTGTATGTCCTGCGACGTGCTGGCGTCCTGTCCAGGGTGTAGCCTGCCTCTGGCTCCCCAGCAGCCTCTGAACTGAATAGAGTGGTTAGAAAGTGGGTGGAGAAGATCACGCCCGGGTCCCGCGTGTCGCTTGCTCGGCCGGCCCACCTGTCGCTTCCGGCTTCGCGGGCTGACGCGGCGTCTCCCTTGGTCTCTCCCCCGTCAGCTTGCTGAGGCGCCTGGTCGTGCTGCTGTCCCAGCAGGCCACCATGACGGCCTCCAACGAGGCCTTCAGGAAGCAGGCGGAAGGGGCCAGCGACGCCGCCAAGAAATACATGGAGGAGAACGAGAAGCTGCAAGAGGTGAGTCCTGCTGGGAGACAGGAGGGGCCCCGTCTCCAGCTTCTGGGCCGGAGGGGTCGTGGGTTCAAATCCAATGTGGGGACACAGCCAGGTGCTTTACCCAGCATGCCATTAGCAATCCCAGCTGCATAGATGGGCTCCATAATGTGCGTGTCGTAAGAATTTGTAACCTCTTCAAGTCGGACTCTTCGCTGTAAGGCAAATGACAGTAATAGGTTTATTCCATGCTGGAAAGGGAAGAGAGAAAGGCTGAGTTGGAGAGACCCGGATTCGTGGAGACGAGACAACCGGAGGATCGAGTGAGAGTCCAGGGAGGCGGCGGGGCTGCTCTGGGCTGCAGGTCCTGGGGCTGCAGAGGCTGCTGTCACTCTGCTTCTGGGTCCGTAGCTTAAACAGTGAGGAAGCTGAAACAACCAAATCCAGGCCCTTCAGCCAGAGCCCGGGGGAAGCAGGCAAGTGGCCCTTGTAGTTTCCGTCGGGAGAACATCGTCGGAGCATCGACAGGATCCAGAGAGAAGGACATGTGACAGCGGAGGGGTGGATCTGCAGTCTGCCCAGGGCCATGTGTCTCTCTTCAGCAGCGCTGGGGGTCATGTCCTAGGTATTGATCCGGCGCTCAGGCTAAGCAAGGCTATCGATCTGCAGCAATTGAAGTAGCTCTGAGGTGAGCCGAGCCACTCGGAGTGCACTCTCCGTTTATTCATTTTCTTTCAAATCTACAGCCTTTGTGTTTAAACAGCAAAATTGAAATCTAGCCTGCAGTGTTTTCCATGCAAACATTTAAAGAGTGTCTTCCCCACATGCGGTCTAATGGATTGTGCTTTAAAAATAGGTTAGATTTTGTTTTTTTTACTATCATGTCTTAAAGGAATTGCCGAAAAGCCAGTTGGCCTACATAACATGTTCTGTCTCCTAGGAAGAACACTTTTCCTGCTTGAATTTGTTCTCAGATGTAGACTAACCTACCGTTCTTCCAGCACCTACTGTATATAGAACTAGGGTGCTCTACGGGTCTCTCATAAATCACCGCTTTCTGAACACTTGGAAACAGCCTTGTTTTGAGCACTTGAGCAGGTGACCCACTCCATTTAGCTGCTTAGGGGTCATGTGAAATTAAAATGCCGGCAGTCTGGAAATGCCATGAACCCCAGTTGTCCATTATTGACTTAACTGAACTGATTGACACAACGGATCAAACGTCACTCGTGCCAGACCTTTGAAAGTGATGAGTGTCAAGTGCAGACTTGCTGGATCACTGTGGCTTTCCAGGACCAGGGCTTCCATCTTGATGATCATGCTGATCTTCTTGAGCCAAGGGGAGCAGTCTGCTCACACGCTGTCCTACAAAGCTATGTTTTCGCATAGCTATCTACTCGTGCTTGCCGTGAAACCCAACAACAACACCAGCAGCGTTGATGTTGGAGAGGCTTGGAATCGAAAGTCCTTATTTATGTAGCCGTCCTCTGGACAGCAGGGCTTGGGCTCCAGAGCATCTCAAGTGACTTCCTGGTAATGTCACACAGTGGCCGGAGGTCTGATGGGAATGTGTCACCTGGTCTCTGCAGCCTCTTTACTGGCCTCAAGCAGGGGTGTCTGATTACTGGGGCTGTGTCCCAGCCAAGCTGTTACACAACGACAATGACCTTTGTGCTTCATCCAGTAAATGGGCCAGGCCGGACTCAATTCCTCTCTGCAAAGCCGAGCCTCACCTTGCAGAAATCGAACCAGTGTCTTGTCTGAGGGACATGGTCTGGTCATGAAGAGAAGCAGCAGAAGAATCTGCACAGAAGACGGGGTGCTTTGTGACAGTGCCCGACGTGAGACCATCCAATCCCACATTGGAGGCTTTCTACAAGGAAGATACGGGCTGATACTTAGAAATCATGACCTTATCGGGAAAGATCAGGCAGTTGAGTACTGCAGGCTTGGTGATCGCTCCATGCAGACACCCTTTCCTAGTGATTATTCATACATAACAGATGCATGAATGGCGTATTATCTCGTGGCGGGAGCTGAGGAGCAGCTGTTCAAGCAGCTGTCTGTCTGAGTGCCTCCAGTGCGGTGCGATTCCCCACTCACACCCGCCAGCAGTGGACCCTGGCCTCTTGCTGCTGTGTCAGCAGGGCGGGCCCAGAGGCGGGATGGACACCAGTCATTCCCCGGGCGTGTGTTTCCGCAGGCTCTGAGGGAGGCCGGGATCGCCCTCCCGCAGGCGGGGAAGAAGGAGGGCGTCAGCGTGCAGGAGGAGAACAAGAAGCTGAAGGGGGAGGTGGACCACCTGAAGGACGAGCTGGACGCCACCAAGAAAGGTCAGACGCCCTCCCCCTGTCGGGCCTGCGGGCTCTCGTGAATTACAGGGACACCCAAGTCCACTCTTTCCTAATCGCCCCCAGTTAGAGTCAACCCAGAGCAGGCCTGAGAAATTCAGTCTCGGATTGTCATCCAAGACAAGCGTGCAGGCCTGGAAAACCGTTTTATGTGCCCTTTCAGCTGAACATTATTGTTGTTTGAATGGCAAAACAACAGCGAGCATGCAAAACAAACGGTTAAACCAGTCTGATCGCCCCTGGTGTTGTGCCTTAAACGCAGGGGACTCGGAGCTGTGAAGGGTCGCGTGAGGCTGGAGCAGGCTCTCGGGTCGGGGGCGACGATGGGGATGCCCAGCCTCTGTGGCCTCTGACAGCCGAGGGGTGGGGGTTGGGTGGGCGTCGGCACAGGCTCGCGAGGATCGGACGGGAAGATCGTGCAGAGGGCCGTCCCGGATCGGGTGGGCCTGACGACAGTAATTGGAGATTCCAGGTTTGCGATTCCTCATTGTCCCGGGCGTTGGCGAGGAATGCACGAGGAGGGGGGGAGTCTGCACCGGCTCGTTCGCCTTGGGCAGGGGGTCTAGGGGGCTGTTGGGGTGCGCTGACCCAGCGAGACGCGGTTGGCGCTACCGGATTGGGAGTTGGCGGGGGGGGGGTCCGCATGAGAAAGCGAAACCTCTCGCCCGCCCTCCGTGCGTTGCGTCTGTGTAACAGTGCCCCCCCGCCTGTGTTTGTGTGTGCCCTCCCAGCCCTGCAGAAGTCGGAGAGTGACGTCAAGGCCATGAAGAAACAGGCTGAGAATCTGACCAAGGAGTACGACCGCTTGCTGGAGGAGCACGGGAAGCTGCAGGTGAGCGCGGGGCCGGCAGTGGTCTCCTGCCCTGCTGCGGTCCGGGGCTCTGTGTGGCCAGCGGCTCGTCACTGCCAGTAACGCCAGACTGGGGAGCTGGGTGACAGCAGGCCCAGGGCCCGAATTATTTCTCAGATCGGCGTGTCTCAGGTGAAAATAACCACTGTGTTTACAATAAGACATAGCTATCACACAGCCTCCTGGGAAGAACACAGTAATCAAGTGACAGAATGGGAGAAACGTTGGATCAGGACTGAAATACAGACTGAGTGCAGTAGGAATGTGTGGGGTTTTATAAGGGATGCAGTGCTGATCGAGGGTTAAGGCATGCTTCGTCAGTAGCGTTTTGTGTGATAGGAGTTGGGAGTTGTCATACTTTGCGTGGCTCAGCAGGGGACAACTATACAGTGAGCAGCAAAGACATCTAGGTGTGTGAGCAGCACTACAGACACAAGGTTCTGTACACTGGAAGAGGTATGAGGGAGGGCTGGAGTGTGCCTGTGTGGCAGAGTAACGTCAGTGTATGTCAAAGCACACTTAACACATGCCCTACAAATACGGACAGCGATGACTAGCTCATCTCTTTTCTTTAGGTGTCTTAAGCTCGTTGGTCATAGTTTATCGCACAGCGTCTTTTAGTCTGTGCTACTGGAATCACACGCACACCATACATGGAGTGGTCTGCTCTCGTCCAAGCGGGAGGCTGTGGGCTTGCTGGTCTGTTGTTGGTTTTATGTGAAGGGAATTCCCAGCATTCACTCCTCTACCGTTGCTGGAATCCGGGGTATCTCTTTCAGATGAAACTGCTCCGATGTCAAAATTTATTATCGTGTCTGAAAACGTGCCAGCTCAGTTCATGGGAATTTTTTTTCCCGGTGTGTAAAAAAGTCACGGATTGCGCTGACGCTGCGTTCCCAGTAGGAGGCTTCTGATATTCGGAGGAATGGAGCGGCCCGCCTCTCCGCACTGCTGGAGGTGGCTACCGCAGACCTGCTGCGTCTCCTGTGCTCCTCTCGTGATTTCTTCTGTTCAGCACAAAAATTACTATAAGGACAGGTCCTATCTACTGTAATAACTGAATGAGCAGGAAGTAAAAAAAAACGCACACCTAGCGGTAAATGAGACGTAGGTAGTTCAGAGCAGATCTTTGAGCTCCGGCCCTCAGTGATTTATAGAAAATCATTCAATATTGAGCTCCGGCCGCGGCCCTGGACGTTTGTGTCGGATGCCTGGATTTGGTTTGGCTTGAGAAGCCGGATCTCGGGGCTCCTGAGCTCAGAATGCTCCTTTCTGCGTTTCTGTTGCGGTGCTGTAGTTCGGGCCGGTCCGAGACGGGGCGCCCTGCTTCTCGGGCCTGCGTCCCGGCGGTGAGGGTGTGTCTGCCCCCCCGCTGACGTCCTGTCTTTGCTCCCCCCCCCAGGCGCAGGTGGACAGCCCCCACGAGAAGAAGGACAACTGAGGGGCGAGAGGGGCGCCGGTTTCACTCGCCGGCTTGCCCCCCCGTCCCCCCGCCCCCCCCGCACCACCCTCCTCCTCCTCCTCCTCCTGCCCACACCGCCGCTGCTCCTGCTGCCTGCCTGCCTGCCTGCCTGGGGATCCCCGGCCCCCGTGGCTGGAGCGCAGTGCCCAGCGTGGCGGGGCGCGGATGGGGGAGGCGGCCGGTCTCCACGGAGTGCCAAACCAGACCGTTCCCGTTGCTGAACCGAAGAGGGAGGAGAAGGAAGGCCTCCTCTAAAGCTGGGGTCCCCTTGCCAGAGCCGCTGCCCGCTGCCGCCTGCTGTCTGTCGCGTCCAGAGGGGGCTGGTTTGCACTGTTGGCTCAAGCGAGTCGGGGATCCGGGGTTGTGTCTGGAAGTGCTGTGGCCCTCGACCCTGGCGGTAGCTAGTTTCCTTTCCCACGCTGGTGTTCGCGTCTCACAGGCTAAACGATAAATTAACCCGCCGTTACTCGACCGCGGAGCGTTTCAACCCGCACAGGTAAACGGTGTGGCTGTGTTTCTCTGGTGTTCTTGCTGTCGCACCGTCGTCTTAGCAGGAGAAGAAAGCTGCAGCCATTTTTAGTAGCAGCCAGTGGTGCCGTTGGGGGAGTTTTCTTCTCTGGTTAACTGGGAAGCGGTTATTTGGAGAGAGACGGCCAGTCCCCAGTCAGCACGGCTGTGTCAGGTCAGACTGGGAGCGGGAGCTCCTGGACCTGTGGCCTCTCCACACGCGCAATAATTCTTACTCAACAGTGATTCTTTTTTTTTTTGTACGAACTGATAAGTCGATTCACATGATGCAGAAATCTGCTTGTCTGGTTCTTCGGTCCGGTTTGCTGCAGTTACTCGGGAGGTCTGAGAAGCTGCAGAGTGCCGTGACGGGGGGTCGGTCTGATTTCCGTTCCTGATCCCTTTGCCTTTTGGCAGCTGTGGTCGACTCGCTGCGGAAGTGCTCCTGATGCCTCCCAGCACTCCGGGACAGGAGCTCCGGACAGTCCTGCTGCGTCTCGGCGCAGGCGAGCCCAGCCTGCTGCGCTCACCCCAGCGTGCGGTTCGGACGAGTAGTCCCGATCCTCCCTCCCCCCCCCGGTTCTCCAGTCCCTGCGCTTTCTCTGCGTCTTTGAGGCTCTGAGGTGGCCCGTGCCGGTCACCGCGGCCTGGCTTATCGGAAAAAAAAAGTCCAAGCAGACAGAGGCCGCCGCTCTGAAGCCTGGGAGTGTTTGACGCTGATGCTCGCCTGCGAGCGGCAGAGCTGTGCGTAGATCCCGTCCCCCAGACACGCCGCCCCTGCCTGCCCCTGCAGAGAGACCGAGGAGCAGCACCAGGCTTCCTGGTCCACCCCCAGTTTACTTCTTGCACTGTCTCTTGTCATTCTTTTGTCCAAGGGGCTGTTTTTGTGTATCAGCTATGGCAATAGGAGTTTCTTTTTCGTTCTTCGGTGCCTCAAGCGAATCTTTTGTCCTGTTTCTCTGCCGACTCAGTCGAGATCCCCCTCCCTCCGCAGGCCAGCTGCTGGCTTGCATGACAGCCTGCTGAGGTGATTCAAGATTCAAGCAGCGTCAGGAAGGCTTTCCATCAGGTCACTCAAACGGTCTTTGTTTCTGCTGCATGTCGTAGATTACGTTGCATGGCTCGTAGGTTGATTCTTCTGCTGTGTCTCACTTTCAGGACTTCAGATGCAAAGTGCTGCAATGCCTCCTCCATTTGTGGGGACAGGAGAGGTCAGAAGGGCAGAGTAGGCACAGGCAGACTTGCTACAGATACAGATAGGTCTGGATTTGAAATATCCTGCATAATTGAATCCAGTGCCACTCTGGCGCAGCTTTGAAATGAATTCACTTGTGCACTGCGGCACACTCAATACTGCCCCTCCTGTGGCCTGGGATATTAGGATAAACAGAGCGAGACCACGCCAGCACAGTGCGCCTAACGTCAGTGCTGTGGAGGTTTCATTCCCATGCCCTTGAGGATGTGAGAAGAAGCACTTACAATGCATTGACATATCATTAAATGTGGACAGGTATAAATTTCCTGGGAATGTACCCGTGTTTCTGATGAAAAATGTTCCAGAAGTTCCAGAAATGTTAAACATGTGGGCTTGGTTACAACATGGACCAAAGGAGAGGCTTTTTAGGTCAGTCCAGCCAGCTGCAAGAGCAGTAACACTGAACGCAGCATAAACTTGGATGAAGAGCTGCATGGTGGGCAGGGTGCTCGGGCTGAAGCTTGTTGAGAAGTCACGATGCAGCATAATTGGTGGTTTGTTACAGAGGTAGTGAGGACAAGCCTTGAATACGCAAGCAGAAGCTCGTTTCTGAACCCAGGGGCAGGCTGTCCCATGGTGCCAGTTTCCACCATCATGTAGGCCACACCAACTGGGTCAGCAGCTCTGAGAAGAACGTGCCAACACTCGCTCCATCCCAGCGGGAGGGGCAGGGCAGTCCGGTGAGCATCCTCCCGGTCTGTTGGAGGCGAGTGGCGGCCCAGCTGTCCAACTGTGTGCCCTGTTCTGGGGGGGGTCTTTGTGCTGCCCCCCTGCCCAGGGGCCGGATGGATTGGTGGTGAGGTTTATAGCACAGTCGCCCGGAAGGGTTGTGAGGGCGATCGGTGGCTTCCTGGCTGTTTGGAGGGTTTCAGAGTTCATCCAGCAGCGCTCAGCAGAGTGAGCTAAAAAAACCTCTTCTGGCTGCGAATATTCCTATTTATGCCCCTTAATGCTAAGAAGGGCTTCATTTGTGTTCTTTGCATTCCATTTGTTTAGAAATACGAGTAAAACACAAATTTTTGGATTCTTTTTGTCGAAGAAACAAGAATGGCCCCAGGTTTTGGAATGGTGGCTGGTTTGTTTTTGTTAACGTGGTGGTCTGGCTTCTGGCGGAGATGTGGCTCAGATCCCACAGTCTGCCCACGCCGCCGTGGGGCTGCGCTCTGAGCTGGGACCCTTCCTGGACCGCGCCGGACACCACTGAGCTTTGTGGGATCTCTCGCGTGTTCCTGGTGACTGATGGAACCTGCTGAATGTACTTTGTCCTCCTCTGAGGCTGTTTCTTTCATCTTTTTTTTTTTACTCAAAGAGCATCACGCTGTTGTTCTCGCAGTTGGCATCGAGGTTGTGGGAAGATTCAAAGGTGTCTGATTTATTCCCTCCACTTTTTTTTACTTTTTATTTCAGACGTTTTGTCAGCTTTGTCGGTTGCTGTAACGTTCTGTGAAAATGTTCGAAGCGAGGTGTTAAAATAAATCGGGTGACATAATAGCAGCCTTTCGATCTCGTGTGTTTCTGGCTATGTCTGGTTTGGCCCCTTTTTTGGAGTGTTTCAGAATTCAACCAGAAGTGCTCATCAGAGTTAAACTGGGAAAAAACCCCAACAACTTCTGGCTGGTAATGAGTTTAGAATTGGGGGTTCAGTTCCACTAGGGCTGCAAGGTTTGCCCTTCTCAAAATCTTGGGTATTGGACTGTTATTATGTGTAACTGAGCAGGTAATGATGAAATTTACTGTGCGTAAGACATCCTTGTAGAATTTGGGGGTCTTTGAATATGACTGTGTCAACTTGAGCTTTAAAGCAGATGAAATGGGCGACAGGACAGTCTGTCTGGTAGAGAAGAGGTACAGGACGGGTCTCGGAAATGTCATTTCTGGGGTGACCCGCTCTCCTCCTCGCTCGGACTGTTCGTGCTGGTGACCCTCTGTGCCCCTTCCATGTGCTCTGTTTTGTCACTTGACTCTCGACGAAAGACAGTGGAACAACTGGGTTTTTTTTTTTGTGGAGGCAGGGAGCAAGTACAGAGCCGAGCCCAGCTGTTGCCGCCCGATACAGTACAGGTTGGAACGCCGAGCCGGACAGGAATAGGCTGCAGCCACTCCGAGGCCACGTGCTAAAGATAGCTGCCAAACATGAGCACGCCAGAGCCCGGGCTTAATAAGGCCGGCGCACGACCCCAGCACGCGGTGCACTCGTCACGGACCAGTCGCACCAGGGCTGAGCGCCACTTCCTGGGCCTGCTGGGGTGGAAGGAGGGGGGGTGCTGTTGGGGTATTGCAGCGAAGACCCAAATCATTTACTTTTAGGGATTTTTGAAGCATTATGCCTTTAGCATAATAAACCATCTGAAATAGTCATCCCATCTGTCAGAAAACTACTCTCGTAGCTTTTTGTGCCAGTGTTAAAATCGACAGTGTTAAAATGTTTTTTGAACGCAACTGTAGAAATCTTCAGTTGCAAGCTCAGGCAGTGCAATCACTGTACAAGCATAAAAAGCTGTGCATTATTGAACGGTGCTGGGTGTTGCAGCACTGAGCCTGTAAGCCGTCAGTCAAGTGTGGTGCAGTTGATGGACGAGTCTGATTGCTGACAGACTGCAACCTGTGACCTGTGTGTGACCTGTGGCCTATGACCTCAGCCAAAAGAGTAGGACTGTGCTGACATGTTATAAGTTCAGAGGTCACCTGGATAAAAAATGATCTATTGATCCACATTCTCTATGTGCAGTATATACAGTATACGTTAAAAAAGTGGCACGCAGGCAAATTAGGAATTAGCGTTGAATTGCGCAGATTTCGTAAGTGAGGGTTAGATGTCAGCAAAAAGGAAAGAAATTTAAAAACAATAAAATGTAGTCCAACCTGAAATTAAATTCATGTGCCCAGCATTACTTTGATAAGTAACACAACAATAATAATAGTCCTGTACACCATCTAATATCAGACACTGGTAAGTGAAAGGGTTGTGACAAATTAAATGGGACGTCCAGTCCATCACAGGGCACGCTCAGCCATAAGCACACAAGGATAACCTACAGACACGTCTTAACCCAGCTAGCATATCTTTGTAAGGTGGGAGGAAGCCGCAACACCTGGAGACAAGAGACCGGGGGAAACATGCAGACTCCCCCCAGAAGGTGTCCCAGTCCGGAATCAAACCTAGGACCCAACATGTATGAGGTAACAGAGCTAACTCTCAAAGCACCCCTATGGAGGCATCATTAACCACAGAAACATTAGTAAGATACAGACATAACTTAATTTTCATTATGTTAAAAAAAAAGTCAGGTGAAGTAGAATATGCAATTCTGCTTTCTCATGTTTCCTCTAAAGCGTCTGATAATATAGTACGAGGCGCCTGTACAGCTACCCTCTGGCTGTGTGAGTTGTTAACCAGCACTGGGAAAGGACTGGGCGGAAGCAGAAAGAAGGCCAAGGAGACAGCTGTCAGAGTTAGTTCTCTTTATTGCCATGTTGTTACTCTTGTTTGGGCGAGTGGAGTTCTGCACACAGTCACAGTGGTCAAAGCATGAAGCCCTTTGTACATTGTGAAGGATGATACCAATGGAACACCATTGTTGCCGTCGTCACCATTATTGTTGTTACAGTTTATTACTACTCTTACGATCATGAATGGAAGACTAGAAGTTAGGTTTCACAGGTGGAACACGTTATTCAAGCACAAAGATGGAACATCACATGGGTTTATTAGCTCACCAAAAACTTCATAACCCTCATTTATTCACAGTATCCTCATCCGAGGTGCATGAGTGCTGAGTATTCTTTCACTATAATGCTTCCATTTTTAACACTATTCACCGCACTTTGAAATCACTTGGATTAAACAGAGTCTGTTGGGATGGCATTATTTGACTGCAAAGAAATATATATAATAGTGGATTAAAATTTCATGGTTGCCGTATTTCACATCCATTTTAAGTCTCATTTTATTATGGTTTTCTACTGGAGGCTTTTAGCACAAATCTCTACAGTGCTCAGCCTGCCTGTACACGTGATAGTGCTGGTAGTTTGACGGGTTTAAAACCGCCTTTGGATCTGGCTGCTGCTTCTTCACAGCCGAACACATATAAAATTCAGTTTATATCACTTGCTAGAAAGATCAATGTTTTTAAAATCCCTCTTGAGTCTCGTTACTATAGTATTTGTGCATTGTTGCCCAGTTTGTGTCAGAAAGACAAGCTGTCACTGCTAGCTGGTTAAATTTTCCTTATGTTACATTGCATAGTTTATTGCGAACTGCATCCTAAGGTCCTGCAGTCATGGACAATTTCACTTAGGAAATCTTGCAAATTCTGTGGTCAGAGACTGAATGGGATGCATTAAAACAGGCCGTTTCTATTTTCTGAAAACATCAACACCTCCCAAGAAGGCAACATAAAATGCCAACTAGACAAACACAAGCTCATGTGAACACACACACTTCTTTCACGGACAGAAGCGTTGCACACCCCCAAGCACCAAGTCTCAGCCTGTGAACCTCACCTTATTATTGGCCTTCCAGACCTCAGTCTGCACTATAAATGAGAAATTCTATTTACTTTGCACCACCAATCCTTGGAGCAAAGGATAACATCTGAAATAGGATTACAAAAATAGTGAAATAGCACATGGTTTAAGTAATGTATATTGGTTTTGCTGTATAATTTAGATTTCAATATGATTTTATTAAACTTGCTGAACAATCCAGGCTCTTAAAAGCCTAGAGCTCTGTCCATACCCATGCAATTCGTCTCGCAACCATAACACGCAAGTTAATTTCTTGAGACTGGGTTGTTCACTCCTAAGCTTACGTGTTTAAAAAAATACATTTTAATTTTTCAGCTACAGCTGCCTTCTTGCTTTAGTCTGTCACTTTTTCAGCTTTGTGAATCTGCATATAGACGAAGAGCTGCTGCTGCTGCAGATTAATTATCTGTCGTTTTCAGAAAAACATGGCTGAGAAGCCAGGTCACCGAAAAGCTACAACAGGGCGGTAAACTGTAAAGTGACCATTTCTTCATCAGAGGCCATGAAACCACACAGCAAGGACTAACCAACTAATCCCATCTTAGAAAAGGGCACAAACACGTACAGATCACCATATATCACCCAGGGTTTTAACAAGACTGTCCTTATTTTAAGCAACTGGTTGTGCCGACTGTGATGTGTAGAGACATCCACATAGTAGCTTTTTCCATTTGTGCAACAAGAAAAACTGTGACTCATTGATAAGGTGAGGCTGGGCCTGAATAGAAGCATGAGAAAAAAAAAACAAGGTATTGATTAAAATGCAAGATGAAATGTGTGCTGATGGTACAGCTTCTAACTCTAAAGAGGGACCTCTTACCTATAGGAAATGAGGTGCAGTTAAGTCTGAACAGACTGCCACTACCTTGATTACTGCCTTCTACATTATCAAGAACAGATACCAGAGTTAAAAAGGCTTAATGTTATCTCTAAAATGTCAATATTAATAGCAATAGTATTATTTTTTTGTCAATTTATATATAGATTTTTTTTCACCTAAATGAAACTACTGATTTTTCACACGGGATGAGCACTTAAAATATACTATTTAGTAATGAAATTTAGACCAATCAAAAGAACTGTACTTTTATTAACAACAACACAGGAGCACCTGCTCCCTTACAGAGGGCTAAAGGCTGTATTCTGTGCTGTTCTGTTCATTGAAAACCACACCTGCATCTGGAATATTTCAGTTACCGTACATCAAAATAGTTTCCTGTCAGCTCAGGTATATTTCGTTCTAATGAATGCTAAGAACAGAAAGCAGTGTCTATCTACTAAACTGGCCTGCTCTCTGAGAGGGGTAGCTATCCGCCTGGCACTTGTGGACACACGTCACATGGTTCTGTACCACAGATAAATGAGTGAATGTCAGTAATTTGTGAGGCTACAGTATGAGAAACAGAGCTCTGGGAGATATAAGGCAAGTGACAAAACACACTCAATGAAGTGGACTTCTGTATCACTGCACAGCAAGTCCAATTCTTCCTTCCAATCCTTCACTGCCATCATAGAATAATACACACCCCATTTTCATCAAAACTACAGTCTGCACACGGCAGCAACCTCTTGCAGCCATATCACACACATATATAAATATATAAATGTATATAGATATGTATATATATTACAAATATCAGCAAAATAAAACCATTCACAAAATAAATTGGATTTATTTTACAGTAAGTAAAATAAAGAACAAAGTTTTCTTCTAACACGATCAAAAGGTGCTAGCGAGATTATTTTACAACAATGTGCAAATGTAGTTCAGCCTTGCGTTACTAATATCTATCGTTCAACATTTTCAGCAATGATTTTTCACAATGATAAATGTACCACCTATATTGCTGTACATGGCAGGATTCTGACAGGCGATTCGAAAGGACAGCACTTTGGGGTCCTAAAGGTGTGCACACACCTATAGACTGGCTGTGTTAAATTTCAATAAAGAGGGCTCCAGACTTAAGACATGCATCAAAGGCAAAGTTTGGCATTTACGTGACTACCTCTCTCACTTGGCACTATGTGCAAACCTCAAACAGCACTTTAGTAGCTGTACAGGCAGAAGATGTTCCACTTATTACTCAGTAGACCCTTTCTGCATAAACCAACCACAAGGCACTGGAAGGAGAAAACAGACTGAAACAACAGCTGTGTCTCTTTCCCGTGTCTGGGGTCTTACTTCAGAGCTGCTTCCTGCAGGTTACCGCAGTGCAGGAACGACTGAGTTCAGCTAAATACTAGTCGCTGGAAGACGCGCTCTGGAGTAAATCCCTTTTCCAACTGCACTGTGGTTCGGCCCATCCATGTGCAGGATGGACAGGAACATCGGGAGACTGGAACTGGGAAGATTAGTTGTGGCTGTCTGAAGCTGCCTGGAAGAGTGGATGACAACACAAATGTCCCACTCAAAGAGTAGTGGAGGATTTGAGATGCAGCTTGTACATCTGACTGGCAGGATCAAGCAGTCCCATCATAGTGTTTGATGCCACTGCAAACTGGGTGTTGCTCCTATAAAATTTCCCCAAGTAACTGTTTTCCCTTGTTTGGTTCCACCTTGATCTTTGCAGATTACCGGAACAGTTACAACCATATCAATACTATTTAAAAACAAGACCATCCATACGTTCAGCTACTAAGTTGCCTGTTATGTCCAATGCCTCTGCACCTGAATGTCCCTTTTTGAAAAAAAAATATTATACAAAACAGCTGTTCCCTTATGTGCGGTAAAGCTTTAATAGTGTTTTAATACTTGTGAACAGCCAAAATTAACTGAAATACACATAGTGGTGCTGAAATGCCCCAGGCAGTAGTTGTACTAAAGGGCTCTATTATGGCATCCATGTGGAGTCCATTCTCCATCACTCATCGCTGTGAAGGATGGAGTCCTAGATTTTGGCACGTTAGCTGGACTGTGAACATCATGAATGCAAAACCAGTAATTTAGCAATTTTCTGTAAGACTGATTTAAAAACTTTCTTTTTTATTAAACTTTAGTTCATAATTTGCAGTTGAGCGCATATGAAACATTTACAAATTTGGCAGCTTTCGTTCTATTACTGCTAATTAAAAAAGTGTACGAAGCAATTCACTAGACATTGTGTTATTTCAACTTAAAAATCACACAAATTACATCCTTACCTGTCCTATTAAAATATATAAATCCTTTTATTTACTGTTTGTGCACCAAAAGTCTTCAGGGCACTGTATTTTCCCTTCTGTACTAGGAGCTGGTGTGCAAATGAGGACTCCAGGTCACTTTAACCATGAGGAGAATTATAAGATGCTCTGCCTTTTACTTTTGAAGGATCATTTGCTGTTAATGCAAGAATAAAAAAAACACAACACCTATATAACAAAACCTCAAGCTTCAGAAATGGGTTTAACAAATCTGGAGTTAAGAGAGTTTCGCCTGCCCTTTTATTCATGGGAAAAGGAGTTTTGATGGCTTTAACAATTACCTTAAAATCATGCTGGCCTTCACTCTATTATTTCAGGGGAATTAAGGCAGCTGCAATCACGCTTTACCCTAGGACACACCGTAAGAAAAACGGTTTTCCAGGTTTTTCTGAAGTTTCTCTTCAAACATGGGCTTAAATGCGACCTTTAGTGGATCTGTATTACTTATACAGGTGCATTTTCTCTGAGCTGGTGGTATGAAAGTAAAGGAGGAAACAAAAAAACATCAGCACCTGCTACCTTTTCCCAAAAAACAAAGGGCAGTGGGATCAGATTAGCTAACAAAAGATTTATCAAACGAATTTCTGAGCAGCAGGTACATGTCCCTTTAGTGCAAGCTTCCGGACGAAGCTGCTGCCTGTTAAAATTCTGCCATGACACTGTCTGTCAGTGTGTGTGGTGAGGCCAGAGTGACCGGCCCCGGCTGGGGGGTCAGTGTGGAGAGCAGGAGAGAGATGGAGGCCGCCACACTGAGAGAGGGCCCCTTCGGCTGGTGGGGCTACATGACGCTCTCGAAGATGATGACCTTATTCTCTTCGGAGCCTGGGGTGAGAGACGCCAGGCTCTTGATGTCCGCGTCAGGGGCCATATACTCCAGGTGATGGGTCCCCCAGACTGGCTTGGTCAGGTGGTTCCACCGCTGAGACAGGAAATAAAGACAATAATTTAGAATCTCCAGATCACTGAATTTCACTTTAACCCTCAGGGCTGCACACAGTCAACCAAACAGCTGACTTGCCTAGATCACACCTCAGCTTCCAGCTTTTCCACCACTTGAACATTCCATTCGAAATATTCCAAACCGACCGGCAACTTTCTGCTTACACCTGTCCAGCCGAAAGCTGCTGGCTGGCAGCAGTTCTGATTTAATCCAGACCCAAGCACCAGCATAGACAAAGTCATGCTAGTCCACGGACCAGACCTGCTCCCGGAGAGCCAAGGACCTGCATGTTTTTACTTCTCTGTGTAAATCTCTACATAGCACGATCTAAAAGTATCTGGCCAACAGAGAGTAATCACAACCCAATTTATAAAGAAGAAAAGCAGAAGGAAGGTTCTGAAGGACTGTTTCTTCCCTGAGCACCTCCCCCCCTCATCCCCACTCCCCATTCTCTGGATTTATTTACTCACACTGCCCCTTGGTCATTTTATACGTTTCTCCCCTTTGCGCCTGCTTCTCGTCACTTTTTCCTACAGTTAAACCACTCTTTTTCTCTGTGCTGTACGACTCGATGCTTGTACTACAGCTTACTAGTACAAACGCTGACTGTGCTGCTCTACAGCTCGCCACCACGACCTGCACAGGTCTCCTAGTCCAGCAGACAAAGGCAAAGTGAAACGGTGTGAAAGCTGTAGGAAGGCCATGAACTGCAGGGCAAACGTCTGGTTACAAACAAGTGCGAAACTGCAGTGCAAGTTTACTACGGCCAAATGGTGTTAGGGATGTTACTGCGTCAGTAGGTTATCCTGGCTGTATGGGCACCCAGTATGGGGGCTGTACTGACCTCTCGGAAGGTGCCCTTGGCTCTGAAGAGCTTGTAGACCAGGCTGGTTGGGATGCAGAGCATGGAGGACAGGGCCATACACCAGCCAATCACCTCCCCCCACCAAGGGTACACGTACACATTGTTGTAGGTTAGAGGCTTGTAGTTCAGAAGGTGAAATAGGAAGATACCCTGTGGAGGAAACAGAACTTGTTACAAAAAGCCTAAGGGCTGTTTTCTAAAAGCAGGCTCTAATCAAATTACAGACTACTGTATCTGTATGCATATGTACACATGCTACGCTTTGTTATTTCTCATTTATAGTTATTAAAAGGACAATCCTAATGCTCTGTGGACTTCCTGTCACTAACAATAACGATAAACATAATCTGAAAGCAAGGCTATCAAAAATTGGTTTATATATTGTGACCAATAGACTAAAACTAAATTTTGGTTTGAGTTTAGCATTTAACAAATTGTTTACGGAACACAAAAGAGTTGACTACAGTATTTGGAAAACAAGATCCATTCTTATTATTGCATACTGTAAATATGGTACAGAACTATGCAACCTGTACTGAAAAGAGAGTACTGAAGGACACTCCCTGCAGTCCTACATATTAACATCTGTCAGTATTTAGTGTTGGTATTTAATTTCAGTATTTAAATAAACAAAAGATGCCCCTTTCCTCATGAATGAGTCTTACCATGCAAACACATGGAGTAATAAACGACCAGCACCACTTTATCCAAGGGAAAGGCCGGTAACCGATCATACGAGCGATGTCATCCATAAACCTGTCAGCTCCTGTTAACACATAGACTTCAAGCAGTCAAGATGAGATGAAAAAAGAATCTGCACACAGACACTGCAGCAACAGGCTCAAGAGTTTCTGGGGTCTGTCTCTTTTGCAATGCAGCTACTCAATCAGGTTGTACAAAAAGGTTTAAATAATCATATATAAATAATAAACATTTACGATTTTGCAAGTGTACTTAAAAGTTAGATCTCTGTAAAAAGAAATTTGCTAGAATAAAACTTTCTTCAGAATTAACCTCTAAATACCTGATCTGGGGTGAGTGCATCACAATATATTTTTTTATCTTTTAGGAAGAAAATACAAACCTTAAATGAAAGGGAAAACTCAAGGAAACTGTTTTTTTTTACTGCAGGCATGTTACGTTTCTGTTTCAGAAAGTCCCAGCTCAAAAGTCAAAAGAAATCAATGAAGTTTCCACTCAAGAAACATGCAAGGTCACAGGCTGCAGAAGAGCTGATGCGTTTCGATCCTGCTGACATCATGACCAGTTTATTGTAATGAAGACCTGTCCGAGGGGCAGGGCTAAGAAATTGCTTTGATTTTCCTTGACATTCAGACCAAAGCAGGAAATCTTTGCTATGAGCTTTTACAGAAAGACTTTGATCCAACACCTTCTGAGATAATGATTCAGAAAGGAACAGGATGTCTGCGTACAGCATCTATATTTAGATTTTTTAAAAAAGCTTCATGCAGTAAATTGATTTCTTTTAATTCCCTTTCTTCATTCTGTTTTCAGTGGAACATCCTTGGCCTTTCAATTAAGCATGCCATTAAAAAAGGGATATTCTGTCCAACTTACGTTCAAACTCACAAACTAAAAACTAGGGAAAATGCAGCGTGACGTAAAATGTGACTCAAGAGGGCAATGTCTGTTTATGTATAGCTTGCCATTAATTGCTTAAAAGCATAGGTTGTGTAGAAGCCAAGTGTTCTGTGTGTCAGAGATCGAGACTGCGAGGCTAAAAAGGGCACTACAGCTCAGGATATGCCTATGCCACTGAAACACAGAGATAGAAACCATGCTCCTCACTCACCGTAGACCCAGGAGACAACTACGCATTCCCAGAATGCCTGCCACAGCAGGGTCATACCGCTGGCTGAGTAATAATCAAAGAGCTGGAAGACGTACATCCCCCCCTGCAGATGGACACACAGATGCAGACAAGTGAGGGGCATGCCAGTCCTGCTGTACTGAAGTCAGAAACACCAGGGGCTACAGCCTTGACAACATTCATTCTGCAAAGTGTCAGCCAGCTGGTAGCTATGGCATTTTCCCCTCTATGACACCCCATCCCCTGAATCAGTTTTAAAGGCTGACTCTTGCATTCATGCCAACAGTTCATTGTAACAGAGAGGAAATACTACTGACCAGCAGAACAGCTTTAACAGGGGCTTGTCATGCATAAATCTAACTGGGAGCAATCATGCTCAAGTGCCCCACAATTAAACTTTAGCCCAACACATTTTGGAGAGGGAGTAAGTAAAGGCACATCTCTTGCGAGACTTGATCCGTGCATACCTGCACTCACCGGCTTAAATGTTAGGAATCAGTCAAATGAATAAACCCTCTCGGAGGCAGTGGTGTGGAACACGGGTTAGGACTCTGGACCTACAGTACATCCTGGGGCAGGACACTTGTGTTTTACACAGGTACACATGCAAGTGGCTTTGAATAAATCCACAAATAGTCTGGCTATGTGGGGTTGGCTCTAAGACCCTGTGACTTGCTTGAATGGCCAGAGCAATCATTCTGAAAACTGGCGGAACCAGTGAAATGAGCCAAAACGGATGGTACTGGGCCTTTTTCTAAAACCTTGTAAATGCATGACGCTTCCCTGCTGCTCATAGAGATCCATCGTGTTGTTTGATGGGGGGGGGGGCTTAATTTTGACCAGAGAATGCAATCAGCCACACAAATGCACAAATGCTCTAAAATAAACGATTCAGATCTGTTAGTTAAAGGTCCACTCTGTTGAAAGAACCCGGGCTTTTACATGTTAAGTAGCCATGCGAGCAGGGAGGTCTTACCTGAGTAACCATGGAGAGATCGATAATAAAGCAAAGCGAACAGCAGATGGCAACGGCGATTTCCCGCCGCCAGCGCATGTAATACTTCCCGGGAAACAGGTCCAGAATCCCAGTAACAAAACCTTCCACCCCAACAAACTGCAGACAGGAGAGGGGAACAGCCAGACAACACGTTTACAGTCAGCTGTTTTACACAGAGATACAGAGCAAAAGGCTCTACAACATTTTAAAGTGAGAGCACATTCAATACAGCACCTAGACACGTGCAGTCCGCTTACAATTATATAGCAGATATATTTTACTGATGAGCTAGTCATGAATAATCATAATATTTAAGAAGCACAGTTAAGGTCTGAAATTCTCTTTTAGAGAAACTAGAGGTGGCAGTGAGAAGCATACTGTTTCAAAATAATTAACAGAGTCTTAATCTCCATTAATATTTTAAATCGGAAGGTTACGCAGTTTTAGCAAGTATTGAGTTGAATTCAACTATATATCATAATGAGAACTCACTATGAAGACATCTAAGCAGCCCATTCAATAACCTTACTCAAATCATAGCTAAAAGGCACAGAGAAAGAGTTTTGCACGTTAACAAGACAGAATTCATGCCTCCTGTTCTAATGGGGTTACTTTGAGGTTTATTCTTCACTTTATATGGTGCACTTTATTAAGGATCATAAACATTTTCCTAAACACAATGAAGGATTTTAAGGTATCTCAATGATCGCAATAATACCGCCTAGAAGGCTGTATTTTTTCATTACTGCAAATTGACACTTTCTGCATGGGTGTGGATTTTACTTCTCAGCTGCACTCCAAGGGCTTGAAAGGTTTTCTTTCTCACAGACATCGCAAGGGATCGGTTCTGATACTCTGGATCAGCTCTGGATCTACGAGCCGATCATTTAAGGCCTTCCGTGAGCTTGCGTGACCACAAGGCCGAGCTGCGGGGCAAGTTTTATAATTCTAGCGCTGCTCACACAAATTTCACGCAGCCCCGCTAGCTCTGCGGTTTTGCACGACAGGTACCTGACTGTCCAGTCCCAACAGCAGAAGCATGAAGAAGAAGAGAGCCGCCCAAAGTGGGGCTACTGGCATCAGAGAGACAGCTTTTGGGTACGCAATGAACGCCAGGCCGGGACCTGTGAGGAGAGAGGGGAGGCTGAGCAGGGAGGCACGAGGCCCGGCGGGGGGCCCTGGACACACAGACACACCTACACACACGCGTCACAGAGAGAGGAAGGCACACTGATGACTGCTGGGAACTGGGCTGGTGGGGCCAAAGTTGTGTGCCGTGTCTGTGGAAAAGTGTGCAAAGTGCAGGAGATGCTAAATTCGTGTTTTTTTTGTTTTGTTTAATGCTACTGTTTCATAATTACTGCGAAAAGGGACTACAGTGTCTTGTGTGCATCTCATCCATGCAATTGCCAGGCAGGTTAGTTTTTATTATGTGCTCACATCATTGGAAGGACTATGATGACTCTGGATTTGCTGCTGTTTCTACAGATTGCAATGTTCTAATATTAATTAGACCTGCCCTACATGACTACCTTTTTTTTAGTGTTTAAATAAAAAAACAAACATAACATCTTGGAAATGTTGTTTTGACTCTGCATCGTAATATCAAATTCGGGAGCTACATCATTTGGATTTTCCAAGCAAAATGGCCAAGCCTTACAAAGCCAAAATTTTTAAACAGATAATGTTTTCTGAAAAGGATCTCTTCTTGCCAAGTTCTAAAATTGCAAATTGAAATTTGCATCAACACATCATGAAAGATCTGTGTCACACACTTCAGTGACTGTACATAGGGCTTCTGTTTTGGCGTTTTTCAAAAGATTTCAGGATTTTGATGCCTTAAAATCTATTTTGCAATTTAAAGGTGTTTTCACCTTTTATACACCATAGCTAGCAGTGATTAGGATGTACTTGAAGGTTGTGTAATTCAGGTGAAACACAACTGTTGGACCCTTGAGCAAAGTACTTCATTCTGAATTACTCCAACAAAACACCCAGCTCTAATAAATGGGAGCAAATGTAAATCACTTTGAATAAAAGTATCAGCCAGATAAGTTAGCTACTGTCGTATGAATGGTGAAGTTTATATGAAACACATTTTTGATAAACCTTTGCTTTCTAGTTTAATGTTTAACGCAACTCTTCTCAGTTTTGCAAAACATCTTGTGTGAAACTATTATTAAATGATATTTAATAATAAATGTATTAAAAAATATAAATACCATTAGCCAAAGGTTTTCCTTAACTTCATACTATCCATATACTATGAGTACAAAACTACAGTATTTATAGATACTAACCTAATCACTGGCCATACTCAAAGCACTTTCAGACTACAGGTGTTCAGCAGGTCTAGTACTGCAAGGGTACTGGTTTGCTGAGCAAAGTGTCCCAAATGACACAACATTGCACACTAGTGTCTTCTTTGCTGTTTTACACACTAAATTGAAATCAGGCATACACTCTTTTGGGGGTTTGTGTGATTAAGCATTTTTATGGTCTACGATCAGTGTTTCAAAATCCAAAATTAGTGTCTTGGCTGTTGCTCTATCGAAAATGTAAAATGCTTTAAATCAGAGGAGCTTGTACAGAGTTGCTTTACAGAGTTTAATATACTTCAAACGCAGAAATAAATGTCAGGCAGGAAACAAGTCCAACTGCACTGGGAATGGGGTAATGCCAGCATAAACTGAATAAGACTGTATGTCGTGTTTTTCTAGGTGTTTACTAATTTCATTTTTTCCACATTGAAAAATACATTGTATTAGTTTTTACCGCCTTAAACCAAAATCCAGAAGCCCTAAATACACAATCTACTTATAGCTTCGTGTTGGAGCTGTATGAGTTTCCAAATATTAATAGGTGCTTGGCTCAGATTAATGGAGTGAGATGGATTATAAGTATAGCAATTACAGGCTTTTATATCCCATTTCTTATCGCCGATCCTGGCATCTCCAAAAAGATACCCATCTCCTCTCTTGTTTTATGGAAGCCTAGGCAAAAAGCAGAGCTGACTGCTTTGTGATTTGCTGTAGTTTGGCAGCATTTTGTGGAACAAAGTCAAATTTAAGAAATAATGTAGCACCTTGTCTTTTGAAGTCATACCAAACTCCTCAGCTTTCTTTACTTTCATGTACAGTATAACTGTGCTTACAGAGAGGTTACTGGCAATTCAGTGACATGATTCACTCTTCAAGTCTGGAATATGAATTGCATGCTTTTTAATTCTGAACTACAGAAAACAGTCCTATTCTAAGGCATCACTGGTTAGTTCCTAACCTCTTATTTTTAACGGCAGAATTAGATGGTGAAATGCTTCTATTTTAGATCTGTCTTTTTAGTTTTGGTTTAAGAGGCACATACTGGTACTAGTTAATTAAAACACACCCCAAGACAGATTTTGTTTTTTATATAATTAGTGAGAAATCTGGTGAGAAGTTTAAGTTACTGAAATATGCTGTTCAGGATATTTTACAGTAGTAAAAAGTTTTAGGCAATCAAGTTGATGAGGTGCAGATGTGGCTAGAAAACAATGATTTAACATGTTAACTGAATTAATTTTCTCCACTGACTGAAGCAGTCACTTATTAAGACTGCAAATAAAACTGAAGAGCCCAAACTGAACAAGCACACACCTGACCAATAAATGAAACACTGCTATGGTTTTTATTTAATGCCTGGTATCATTTTGCCTTCAAGAAGAGCAACGATCATGAAAATGGTACAGTTGTAGAGCTGACAAATTTCTGCACACTGTCCAGATGTTTTTAATGCGCAGTCGTGGGCTGAATGGCATCCTCTCTTCGGTAATCTTTTTTATTTTCTTATCATACATGGGAATAGTGCTCACTGAATAAAAAAACTTTCGATATTAAAATAAGGTTTGAGATCATGATTATAAGTTTATGATTTAGTCCACATTCTCTTGCAGGACCTTATTTTGAGTATCTCTTGCCTTAAAAGCCCTACACTTTTTCAGCTCTGCAGCTTATAGTATAGCTGATAGTCCAATGGGTTTTCATACAGCTGTGATTGTGAGTCTGTGCCTGGTCTCAGTGATTACTTGGTGGGAATATATTTTTCTCACCATCTTTCAGTTCTCCCTGTGGCTCTACCTGTCTGTGGGTAGGTGTGCTGCCCCTGTAATGACTCCCCAGGCTGACGGGATTAAGGTGTGAATGCTGTCATTGAATAACAGAAGTTTACCTGCTGCAGGAGTCAGCTCCAGGACCCCTCTTGAAAGCGAGATGTGCACATCTCAAGAGGCAATTCCTGGTTAAATAATCCTTAAATTAATATTTAAATAAATTAAAATATATACTGAGCATCAAAAGAAACATATCACTCTATTTATGAACATACGCTTTCAGGAAAATACAGTACAGCATGATTTTGAATTGAAGGATTTTGAATATTGCTTAAATCTTCTTGGTGTCATCTGGACAAACTGAAAGACTAGTAATAGTCTTGAGTGACAATTGCACAAGCACTGAGAATAAGAAACGTGGTGATTTAACACAATTAATGTAAATCCTGGAACAATGGCGGACAAGAACAAGAGCCAGTGGTACATTGGAGGCCGGTGCACTCTTGCTTGCCACCTGGCCTGTTCACAGCCAACAATTTCCTGACTCCTGGCAAGACGTTACAGGCAGTCACAGTTCATCAGTGACAGGACTCTTGGAGACCACCAATCATGACACTTCGCCAAGACCGACACCCCATCAAGCTCCATCTTCGCGATCGTTTTTGTCCCTGCACGCCAGCTCGCAATAAATCGCGCATCAGCAGCTCCCACGGAGAGGATGACTGCGGGCCGGATGAGCTCGGCCACGTTTGCTGGCGCAACAGAATGAAGTTGCGTGTGCGACACCTCATGGGGACTTGGCAGCGATGGATCCAAAGTTTTCTTTTGGGATGAATCGAGGTTCATCAGCTGATGAGGAGTGCGATGGTCTGGGCACGAGTGTTCATATGCTATACAACTCCTTTTCTGTAGTGATGGATGGCAATAGTGATTAATTCACTTGCTGCCCTGCTTGTGGGCTCTAGTGTAATTCCTTCCAGCGGTACAACGCACGCTCTTGTGCTGCACGTGGAACAGTGGCGTTCTTATAAGATGAGAACATGGGTTATGTTGTGAATGTCTTAACTCGCCAGGCTTGAGCCCACAGAACATCTGTGGGATGAGCTTGCACAACATCTGACTTCAACGGTAAAGAGTCCAGTGAACATTCTGCTCTGTGAGAATAATGGGACCAATCCCACACGTCAACATGTGCAATCTGGTGCAAGGCATGAGTCATGTACAGTTTGTATCGTTTCCAAGATATAATAAGATATTATTCCTACTAGCCTTTGAATTTCATGGGTGACCTCCCCTTGATTACATATATTAACCAACATACTGTAACTTATTGACTGTGTCTTGCCTGTTTAATAAAAGGCTGGTGCACTAGCTACAAAAAAGATTTTGCCATTTTCCTGATAGTACATCTTGTGAATTTGTACATGCTATAAGTGATCGTTTTTTTGCTGCTCAGTATATATGAAGATATATGAATCACAAATCAAAATAGGACTTAAGAAAATGAAGAAATAGAAGCTGTGAAAAGTATCAGACATTGTGTAAAGTTATTCTGAAGTTTTATTTTAAAAAAACAAGTGCAATATTGATTTTTCAAAGTTATACAAATTCTGTAGAATTCAAAGAAAGACTTGCTCTGATCTTAAAAGAGTTCATAGCTTTAAACTTCCAGACAACTTGCAGGTTGTTACAGAAGGCGGGACATGTGACCAGACCAAGTATCTCTTTGAATTGGAACAATGGCTTCTTTATCTTTGTCTTGCGTGAATGACACCCAAATCGTACATGTTTCTGCGTGCACGTTCATACCACACTGAACAGAAACCTACCCCCACTCCCACACAAACCCGCACTCACCCACTCATGCAAAATCACAAGTTCACAAACGGCTTTCACATTCACATTCACATCTATTGAGTCTGTCAATGACCTTGTACTTTTCTGCAATGTCTTAGTTCAAACTACACAACTGGCTGGGGCACAACTCTTTTCTCTGTACACTTCTGCAGCCTTAATTCACTCCTTTCAGCACTACACTTCCATATTAATCAGAAACCTAAACTGTCAAGCTCTAATAATGCTGGTAAAGAAAAAAACTTCACCCACACGTCAACAGAATACAAATTTCAGCAAAGATTCATACACTGAAAGGATTTCCAATACTAAAGAATGGTCCAAAGTTGATGTTTTTAAATAAAAGGAACTACAAATGTCCCAACTAAATTTTAACCCATTATGCAGTGCACTGTTTTAATGCTAGTTCAACTACAGGTGCTATGGTAAGGATATAATAAATCATTCAGATCTTTACTGATCTAATATTAGTACATAAACTGTTTTTTTTTATTTTGGTATGATGATCAAGTGTTTATTTACACTATTTTAACACTAGCATCATAGTTCCTACAGCAGTGCTGGCATGCTCATGGAGCTACAGTGAGTTAATATAACTCGTTGTATATAATATATAGATAAAAGCAACAGTAAGTTGCTGTATTAAGTATTCACTGCAGACATTTTGTATTAATGCTAACTTTGTTATTGAATTGAATTTTCTAAAAGCTTATTTCTAAAAAGCATACTTGCTAAATCATTGTCGCAACAGTTTATTTCTAAAAGAACATGTTAAATCAAATTCTTCAAAAACCTGGTTGCGGAGGACTTCGATACATTCTTTTAAAAATGTTAATCCAGACTGCTGTTTGCTTAATGAAATATCAGGCAATACAGTTTTAGAAGTTTGCAGCCACCAGAGTGCAGGCTATGTTCCAAAATCACAGTGTTGGTATGTCGAAGCAGTGCCATGCAACAAATGGACAGAAAGTAGAGTAGTAAAATTGTAGAGGTCTGTAGTTAAGCTGTGCTATAACGTTGTTAAGGATTTTGAAATATAAACTGTTCCGCACTGACCTTCTACATCTAATTTGTGCTGTCAGTTTTGCAAAGTGATAGACCAATACTTATTCATCCAAAGCCACAGATAAATTCATCAGCTCAAACTAACACCCACCTTTAACTCAAACATCGATCTTCATTACTCACGCCTTCACTTAATGGAGTTATAGCTTAAATGCAACTCATCTGAAACTCCCTATTGACGAATTGTACTGTGACAACCATTCAAAGACCATTAATAATCCAGAAACATATCAGTAGGCACTCACGGTCAGGCAGCCACTCCTCAACACCCAGACTCTCACTTGTCAGAGCACACAAACCGTCCACACACACACTGCACAGAACTACAACTAAAGACCAACATCCACTTTTCTTCAAATGCCTTTAAAATAATGAAACAATAAAGTCAACAAGAAACGTCCTGCGCAACAAATAAGATAGAAAGTCCAAAAATGAATATTGTAACAACTTAAAAGTGTACACTTTTCATGTCAGTTTGTAGTACTGAAGGGCACAGGGGTTGAAACACATGGACACACACATAGTGTACACACTCTCTCCAAAGCACCTCACATAGAAAAAGCAAAAACTTATCTAGCTTTCTTAGAGACAAAATGCTGACAACAGCTTTGCTACAAGTTTGGCTGCAATTCTGCAAAAAAAGAGTAAGCTTTTTGACATATTTAAAACATTTCAGCTAGTTAGGTTATGTTTTATGGCTTTTACATTTGATATCCATTTGCTTAATCATTCTCCATGAACTTCTTAAGATCAGGACACCAAAACAAGACAAAAAACCTCATAGCTCTTAAAAATCCAGTGAAAATGACCCAGTTTTCATGTCTTTCTGAACATAATAAAACACAAGTCTGCCTTTTAATAACTCATCTGGGGACTGAAGCCAAAGCTGCTATTTGGAGGTGTCATTTTCAAAACAATTTAGAAATTCATTAATAGTAGAAATATGCCAAACAAATCTCAAATGTTTGCTTTCTTAAAAAATGTATAAAAGCTCTTCATCTTACAACATGCTGCTGTTTTCACGGCGCGGGGCTCCGCTCGCTACAGGCAGCTGGGCCGTGCACGCAGTATGTGTGTGTAGCTGTGCTGAGTGTCTGGAGGAGTGCACACCCCATACCTGACTCGGCCACTTTGGATATGTCGACTCCCTGCTCCGATGCCATGAAACCCAGAATGGAGAACACCACAAAGCCAGCAAAGAAGCTGGTGCCACTGTTGATGAGGGCTAGCACAAAGGCATCCCTGTGAGACAGAGGAAGGAGACATTGGTTAGCACAAATCAAAGCACCGCTGAGGCTCAACTCCCTTGTAGCGGATACCAAGGGTCTCTTAAAATTACCAACAGCTGATCTTCTGGGATTATACTGTTTTAATTGAGCAAATTAATGGATCAAACACATGATCAGGAGACCCGGTAGAAAGAAAGACTGAAGACACTTTCTGTTCTCAATAACAGCTACAATCTCCCTTTTCCATACGTTTTGTCTTTCTTTGTATCGATCGATTCATTTTATTTAGTATTAGCTATTAACACATAGTCTGCACATGACGGTTTTGAATGCTTAGATCTTTCTTTTCTGTGCTCTGCTAGTGTCTTCATGTCGTATAACTGAAAGAGCTGAGTGTGACATGTTGAACGTGTTACAGAAAAATATGATGAAACGGCCAATTGAGGTGTAATGATGGAAAGCAGGAATTAAGGCCCTTTCATTATTAATACTGCGGGTCCTATGTATCATTTACATGTGGCTTATGCTAAGGCCTAATGTAATAAGGAGAGGGATTACAGCGATAATGAAAGGAATGGAGGTAAAGTAAGTGCACATACTTGTAGCAGTCATTGTTGAATCGGTTGTAACTGCCTAGGGCGGTGAGAGCGCCCAGCCCGATTGCGTAGGAGAAGAAAATCTGCGTGCCGGCATCGATCCAAACCTATTCCAGGAGAAACACGCGGGCACAGAACGTCAGAGCGGGCCGAACTCCGCCAAAAGATTGCAGGGAACAAACAGCCGGCGTGGCCCAGACGGTCCGGGCTTGCCCCTCACCTGCGCCTCGCCCAGCTTGGACCAGTTCGGCTTGATGTAGTAGAGAATCCCGTCGTAGGCGCCCGGCAGGGTCACGCCGCGCACCAGCAGGATGATCAGCACGACGTACGGGAAGGTGGCCGTGAAGTACACGATCTTCATCGGAGGCAAAGGGAAAGGGCCGGGAGGGCAGGGCGGGGCGGGGGACACAGAGGTATAAATGAATGAAAAGGCTGGACGGTGAGAGTCTGTGACACTGGAGCCCCGCGGAAGCTTTCCTACTGTCTCTGCTGTCAATACAACATGTTTCAATTTGCGCCTCTCCGGTCTGGTTCCACTTCCACAAAGAAGTTCATCATTTTCACATCTGACGTTAAAGTAAGATATTTTTGTTTGCAGTACAGACACGAAACAGACCTGAAAGCAGCCTTATAACAATTATTATATTTACTACAATTCCAATCAAGTTAAAAAGATGCTCCTTAAAGACATTTTTTCTCCAAATTGTACTTTCTGTGCTCTGGAACAATTTGCATATGTTTTTAATCCGCAGGCATGGCAAAGATACAGTACAGCTGGTTGAGAAACTGAGCACAGTGATACACTGTGAAACATGCCCTGAAAATACTGTACTTTCCATCTATCAGGATTCGGGAATTGGAATGGAAAAACACAGGGAGAAAACGTGCGAGTCTCATGACTTTCAACTCCTATCAGTGTTTTTCAAAACACCTTCACACAGAAAGTTATAAAAGGATCATATATACACTGTCACATGCCAAAATCCCAACTGTTTCTCAAGTCTTAAGATTTATTATCATCTATATAGCAGTAAGAAAGATATGTGAACACATTTATCTAATCTTTTAAAAACGATTTGAACTCTGAAGGGGGAAAATGTTATTAAAGATGTACTTATGAACTACTACATTACTGGGTTATTGCTGAGATTTTATAAAATTCTTGTCCTCATGCTCTAGTCATGAGAGAGCAACAGGAAACTGACATTTATCAGGGCTTTTATCTAGAGAGGTAGTGAGTTATTCAAGAATCTGAATTTTAAATGCTGTTATGTCTTATCAGGAGTCATTGAGTGCAATGGAGTCACACGTCATAATGCACAAATGTAAGCAAAAACCGAGCTTCAAAAGAAACCTCTCAATTAACCTTTCTAGGAACTAGCCAGGGCAAAACAATGTCATGCGAAATAATTTAGGTGCTCCCATCCCAGACAATGGCACGAATGTAAGACAACATATCGGAATCTTTCCGGAATTGTTGTGTTTCTGCAACTCCCCTTTCAGAACTCAGGCTGCACTCTCCACAATTCAAGAGCCTAATCTTTGTAAACAAAACAAAAAAAAAAGAAAGTAGGACAGTGTTTTTTTTTTCCCCCCTCTTGTTGCAATACAATGACCCACAAAGCAAGTTCATTATCATTCCCAGACTCTGCACAGACCTCTCCCCCGTCCAGTCCCGTCCAGAGCCAATTAAAGGAGTCTGGTCTCAGTCCAGATGAATGGACCCCCCCACCCCCCACCCCGCCCCCAAAGGATGCTTCAATAGACAGATTACGCTGCATCCCTCCCCCCCACTAGATCTGCAGTGCTCCTCTCTGCAGCCTGCTGCCTTGTCCATTAATTTAACAGACAGGTTTCAGAGCAGAAAAGCCCCATCAGCACCCCAAGTGCCTCTGGTGATGGCCTGTTTAAAGAGCTCTTACGTCCCATTACCATAAAAAGAAGGAAAATTTGGTACCCTTGCAATAACAGCTCAGTGGACTTAATAATATTCACAAGTGCCTCCAAGCGGCTGAAAATAAATAGTACTGGCATGCTGCAGTAACACGAGTTTATGTCACACTGAGCAAAATGGCCACATTAAAATACAATGATACAGTCCTGCAAAGCAGAGCTTTGAAGAAGCCAGACATAATGCATGAGGCAGAAGACAAATGCCAAAAGCACAAACCGTATACAGAACACAGAAGAAGTTATATTCACGAACAGTACAGGTGTCCTTAAAAGATATGATTTAGGCAACGACAGCTTTAGCAAATGCATTTTTTTGGTGGTGGGAGTTAAGTCATTTTTTAGGGAAACATTCTGTACCATGGAATTATTTTAGATTACTTTACATAAGATATTTGGGAATGAAAAGGCACTACGTATGTGCAATAAAAAATGTTTGTTTTTAAAGTAAAGAAAAACCCACATCTCTTCTGGGTCATATAAAGAGGGAGCTTTTTTGTGCTTGTTTTATGAACAAAACAAGCATAAAGGCCGTACCCTAAATCCTATTTAATCTTTATACCCTTCCTCACCAAAAAAGACCAATATTAATTCCTATCGCAACAACAGAATTAAAGTCATCTTTAGGATCGAGGCACTCCAGGGTGTGTGCTCTGCTGGAGTAACAAAACTGCAGGTTGTGCGCATCACAGCAACTCAGATCATGATGTGACCCCAATGCAACACTGTCCCTGCAGAACATTATTCCAAGCAAGCAGTGGCTTCCTTCACCACATATCACAGAACGGAATAGCTATGTATTACAATAGTGTTACAATAATTATTTTAATGACTAAAACTATTGTTGGCATTGCTGGCTCGCAGCTCTGGGGCCCTGAGTTTAATTCCTAGAGTGCTGTCTGTTTGGAGCTCTTATGTTCTTCTCGTATTTGCATGGGTTTCCTCCCACAGTCCAAAGGCATGCTGGCAGGTTAATTGGCTTCTGGGAAAACCGGGCCCTGGTGTGAGTCTGTGCGAGTTTGTATATGTTTCTGTCCTTTCCCGTATAGGGTGAATCCTGCTTTGCTCCCGGATAGTTTACGGCTCTCCCCGAAAACCCGTATTGGATACAACGGTTAGAAAATGGATGGGTGCATGGACGAATATGGCAACATTCCCTTTCTGCCCATAAAACAGTTCTTGTCGGCTGCAGAGACGTGGTTCATGAATATGAAGCTGTCACATACTGCCCTGTGAGGGATGTTCTAGTCTCGCTAGATCTTCATTTGTGATGTTAAGATAATAATATGGGTTTGGCCCCAGACTGAACAATCAGAGTACCCTGTGTAATACTGGGTACATGAGTGGGCCTTGGTTTCCGTTTGGCCATTTCTTAAAAAAGGAACAACTGGAAAGACTTCATATAGCATGCTTCTAACTACAAGCTGCTAACCAACCTTTGACCTTAACAGATGCCCCTCGTAACACATGCCCTGCCATGACATCAAGCATTAGAATACAGCAACCCCAATGCTCATTATAGCTGACCTCAGTGCTTAAATGACATGTACCACTGAATTCACTACCCTTAAGGCCATGCTGTGGTTTTAAATCAATTTTAAATAATGCATAAAAACACGTTTTTTATCTTTATATAAACTATATTTATCTCCTTCATTTAAATTTGCTCCGGTGTAGAACGTATTGTATCAAAGAATAGGAAAATGTGCAATTTAAATATGTAGATTAAAAGAACAGCAGTCCATCAAAGTCGGAAGGTATGCAAAAAGGATGGGCTCCCAAAGTGGAAGTGAAAGAGGACTTGATCAGTAAAGGAGCACGGGCACCCGGAATGGCTTCATGGCAAGTATGGGAGACCTTGTGCACTGCTGACCTTCTCAAGTTGCGCTAGAGGAATCATGTCCTCTACAGTATCTCACAGGCCTACAGGCATCTGAATATACAATCCAAGTGCTTTTTTTTTTTAAAGCTCACAGCGGTGTGCTTCTGCACCAAGTGATTAGTCCTGTGTCTGGTGATTTAGCGACCATCAGCCTCCTTTCCAAGGGCAGAGTGAACTTCAGCACATAGCTTTTCTTGAGAGGTCATTAGACAGAATGTATATTTATGTAAAATAGAAACCTATCTTCTATAAAAGTCAAGAAAGTAAGAAAGTTACCAATACCAGTCCAAGGATTCTGCTATTATTTCTCCATTTGACCCAGAAAATGATATGCTGGTAAAAATAAGACTCATATAAATAAGTGCCTGCCTGGTCCTGAAAAAGAATCGGGAGGACTGGTATTTTGCGCTTGTAAAAAAAAAGTATGATTATGTGACACTGGAAGGCCCTGCAAGCGGTTATGCTTGGACAACCACAGAGAAAGCAAAGAAGGCATTGCAGAAGTAGGTCAATTAGGTAAAGGTAGTGGGGACTGAGAGACACAGTTGTATTGTATTGTATTGTATTGTCTTTGCCAATACAGGGTGATAAGACCGTCCTTAGAATGAGAGAGACTTCTCAGCTCAGGTGGAAATCAGGTAGTAAGGCATTACTGTCTGTGAGCATGCTAGCGCAAAGACAGAAAGAAGTGAGATAGGGGCCAAGGACAGAAGAGCTGGTAGGATCCGGGATACGTCTTGCTTAGAGATGGTGAAGGATAATACTGTAGGGAGAGGGAAAAACTAAGAGATGTCGAAAAGATGAGGGAAGATTAATCCTGAAAGTAGGAGGTATTTAACACTTTCAAAACCTTTCGCCCTATCTGACTGAACAATAACTCTCACAACCCATAGTGGTTATTAAAGAAACTACTACTGTGGAAACCCTGAACAGCAGTTATGTAGAAGTGCTAGTGTCACTTTTTGAAAGAAGTGCTGTAGAGGCTATAGTGGATTTAGCTGGGACGCGCAGACTTATTGTTGTCGTGGTTCACAGTACTGTCGCAGCTGTTGGTCTCCGATAAAGCCCTAACATCTGTCTGTGCAAGCTGTCGTTTGGCTGTCAAAGGAGGGATATACTTTTACAGAGGGTCGGGCCACAGCTCACAATCCCCCTCCAGTCAATGCACAGAGGGTCAGAAAGTCAGGGCATCCACCACACTGCCAAGACCAGGCCCACATCGGGAAATGTACTCTACAAGACATGTGTGAGCTGCCCTTGACCAGACCCTGCAAAACTGTCCCACCAACCTCACCTCCTGAGACCCACTCATGTCCATTTCATGACTCTTCACAGACCTGGACATCTTTTTACTTGTTTGTATTGTTTAGCTATAATTAATACAATAGGTAAGAGTATATAAGCATTATGTTTTACGTAGGGTACTCTTAGCCCCGCTAAGTTATATATGACAAAATGTCACTTTGTAGTGCACTTGCACAGAGACCTACAGTAGCAACTCCTATCTGAAACACATCAATTCTTCAGAATAACATCTTTGCTTCCTGTATCAACTGTACCATATGGTAACTTAAGATTTAGTTAATGGTACGGAAGAACATGTACTTTTGTACCTGTATTCTTTATGCATGTAGTCCAGTGATGCTCACTCATGCCTGCAAGTTCTGTAAAAAACTTTAAACTTCTTAATGGCTAGGGGAATGGAAAGAGCTGTAATTTAAGCCAATTGTTAATTGATTCAGTTTGAACAAACTTGCAAATAAACTGCTTGAACACTAATATTTGTGAGAAGTGGATAATCATTTTAATCAAGTGTCAAAGAGAAAAAATGCAAACCTGGAAGTGCAATTTCTGCTCATGTGGACTATTTTGCTGTATTGTGGATGCTGTCTTGTAGCACTTAGTTATATTGAATATTTAACTCATTATCATTGATTATAAAGCATTACAGGACGATCTTATGATGGCTGTCTAAATGCAAAGCAAGGCTAAGTGAAAATAGAGAAACAGACATATGGGATCCATCTCGGGCATGCAAAAATCTGCTGTCTTTATTACAGAGTGGGCAGATTTTCAACCATTTGTGACTGATGAGCTACAGGCTGTCCCCAAATCAAGACCATACATTCTGTACTGACCTCAATCTCTAAAATGAACACGTTTGGAGTCTTGTGCGCTGCATGAATAAGTTCCGAACACTCAAGAAACACAAACTCCTATATAAATTATGTGTGCCTTAGACCTTGAAATTGCATATACTTGGGCCAATTAACTAGGATAGGTCTATACATTAATAAATGATAAAATCCAAATGAACAGAACTGCAGTGAAAAATATTTTGTGGATATTTGTTTCTGGTGATTATAACCAGTTAGCTTAGTTTTTTACAACAGTTGCCCCTGAAGGGACCGATGATTCATAATGCGCTATGCGTAAGAGGTGGGCAGATGCAAACTCCGAAGTATCAGATAATCAATCACAGTAACACGCGCTGCGCTTGTGACACAGCACTGTCGTGTCTCAGGTTTTACTGAAGGCGCCTCGTGGGGTGCAAAGTGCAGTGTGTGAAGGGTTAGGAGTAAAAAGGCACCTGTCAGCGCTTTAAACACCCCGAACCGAAGAGTCAAGGTGACCCCGCCTCTTCCCGAGAAGAGGAGGGGTCAGTGCCTGTACGCGCACCCAGTCACGTCTCACTGCAGTCCACCTATCCCAAACCACCAATGAGATCAGAGCTCCTCCGAGTGACAGAGGCACCTTGTGCTGTTTCACTGCGGCCCCTCCTTCTGCAATGGACGTTGCTATGGTGACGCTCCCCGTCTTCATTGTGCTGGTGTGCACGAAGGGCGAGTGCTATCTGCACAATGCAAGGTTACAACAAGGCACATCGCCTTCACGCTCTCCCCCCACCAGGAAGCCTTGCAGGCTGCATGAATAAACGGCAATTTCTCGGCAAGGCGATTTCTCTTTCTGAGAGTGTGTGAACGCCACATGCGTGCATATTCCAGGCTGTGGAAATTCGGCTTTCGATTCTTCCTGTGTTGACGAGTAAGAAAGGCCTTCTTAACTATATGAAGTCCTCTATTGCTTTATTAGACTAAGCATTCTAAATGTGCAGAGTACTGCATGAGCTGAGATGAAAGATGCTTGGGTGAAGAGCTACCTGCATACAGCCAGTAAACTGTGAGCACAGGGTCTGTTGACTTCAGGTGGAGAGCAGTATTACAAAGTGTTCCCGCAGAAAAGAACAGATGCTGTGAGTGACTTAATCATTTAATGCAAGCGTATTACAGTAGGAAAGGCTAACACCAGGAGGGCAATGGTTAGCTGTATCAAGGCTTGTAATTTTCCATGTTTATATTTTACAGGCAAACAAATTGCCATAATAAAAGAAAAAAAAAACTTACTGTTCATTGAAGACGAGTTTGAACCATTAAATGTATTATCTCAGTTTGGTCTGGGCGTTGAGCGCTTATCTATCTGCAGTGTTGGCTTCCAACAGAGTGGCTATTAATTTGAATTAATTGGCTTTGCTTGTAAAGTTACAAATTGCTTTACTCAGCCAAAACTGCTACATGCTCACATGTGTTGGGTAGTTGGGCACATGAAGAGAAATTTTAACGTATAGGGGCAGCTTTTGCATATGAAACGCCTGGTGATTTATAGTGGACTTTTGTGCTCATTGTAAGCTGCAAACGTTAAAAACAGCTGTTACGTCACAGTTTGGTGAACGCCACCAATCAATTTTAGTAACAATGGCTTCAAATGGAAGAATGATAGCTATACGTCACAGAAAAAAAAAAGAAAAAGGGGGAGGAACAGAGACAGGACAGCAGCTTTGAATGATGTCACAGAGACCAAGGGGAGGGGGTGAAGATGGAGGCCTTATTTGGTGTATCAAAGAGTAGAGAACTGAGAGAGAGCAAGAAAAGCCTTACGCAGAGAGAGGAAGAGAGAGCAGCATCCTCACACTGTATCAGACAGGCCTGCCTTAGGGCACAGAGCATATTACATAAGAGGTGCATGTAAATGGCAGGATTTGTACGTTCACAGACATGCAGGGGCTACTCTTTCCTTCCAGCTGACTTAGGTTAAAAAGGGAATCAGCATGCAGGGGTGTTATTCCCAAGCTGAATATGCAAGGAGCACAATTACCTTCCCCGTTGACTTGACCCCCTTCCACACGCAGAAGTACACAATGACCCAGGTTGCAAGGAGGCAGAGCATCACTTCCCAGTTCATGGCGCCCGGGTAATCCAGCCCCTCCGAGATGTTCAGAACTTTGTTCCTAAAGGAGGAAAAGGACATAAAATGAAAATGAGATACAAAATACGAAACCGCATCAAAAGGACTGTGCAATCTAACGTAGCGGTTTAGAGATGGGAATTACCCTAGCCAGTAAGTCTTTGGGGGGTAGGGGAAAATCCGAGCACTGACCACCTTGTAACCAAATGCCCCATATTATACAGCCTAGTTTAAAAACCTAAAACCTCAAAGGTTTATCACAGGTACAGCTGATATATTTCCTCACTTAGAAAAACAGTGAAAATGGATAGATATTTTTAACTTTACTTTCCTGAGAGCTGCAGTGAAAAGCCATGTGAGGTGACAAAGGTGTCTTCATCTCATGTTGCTAATAAAGCATGCTCCACTTGCGACGGCTCACAGTGCCCTCTAAAAGACACGTGGGCTAACAGTATGAAGTGCGTCAGCTTAATTGGGCCTTTCCTTCCACTAGTATAACCAACCACACTTCAGGACAGCTTTGTAAGGCTCGCAGGGGAACACTGAAATGCTTTGGTGGTCATGTTAACAAGCACCACATGCCTAATTAACTGACCTTCTTATCGCAGTCACAACCTGGTTAATATAAAGCAAGGAGGGAGAGCTTGTGGGGGCGACTGGAGGGAGCTGAATTATTCTAGCAAGCTCGGTCACACAGCCTATACTGCAAAAGCTATTAAGAAATACTGCTGTCAGGACTGAAAAAAATACTTCTACAAAACATTTGTTTCACAAGGTATCTAGTTTGGTCAAAAATAAATTAAGAACGTTTTGTTTCATAGAAGGACATTTCTTAGGGCTGTGGTGATGCTCTGGAAGAGGAAGCTCAGCATCTCCATTGTTCTGTGCTGGGTTGAAGACAGAAAAATACAACAACCCCGCATTGCTGCAGATGTCCACATGGCCAGATGTGTGGCAGGAAACAGCCAGGGTGCAGAGGACAAAGATTTTAGCGGCTGAGAATTAAAGATGAGGAGTTTGGTGCCGCATGGCTGCCTGGAGGTGACATTGAAACTGGGTCACTGGTGTCTACGCATGAGTGCAGAAACCACAATCATCAAGGTTGTTCGCTGATATTCTTCATCCACTGCAGGATGTGCTCCACTTTTTCTTTCTGACTGCACTGAACCAATCATGTGGACATAAAACTTGAAAGCAAAAAGACTAGAAATGTACGTATTAGTTACATTATTATGCATTCTTATGCTCCTGACCAGACTGACCACTTTTAACAATTTCTAACCAACCTGGGGAGAAAAGGAGCTGAGATTGGCAGTGTAGTAAAAAAAAGCAAAAAGCCTGTAAGGATCCTGACGTGGTGCAAGAGGACACGGAGACTGTGACTGCATTCTTAGCTGGTCTAAACATGAAATCATTTTTTTCCCCAACATCGGCTCAAACAGCCTGGCTGGGCTGCGGATGGACTGATTCCACGGCTTACCCAGTGTCGAACGAAACTGACCGACACTGGACCAGCACCGGAGAGGGAAACGGGCTTCAGCTATCGCGCTATCAGAGAAGGTGGCGGGGGACTAGAGAGAAACTCACTCCCAGAACTCGATGATGGGCGAGCGGCCGCTGGCCAGCTCCTCACACGTCATGTTGCCGAAGGAGGAATTGCCGATGGTGCCGTTGTGGCACTCGTCGTGCCGGAAGATCTCGATGCAGGTCTCGGTGTTCCAGGGGTTGTCGCAGGAGGACCAGGGCAGGGTGGCGGTGAACGACTGCACGAAGTAGTAGAATCCCCAGGCCAGCACCATGATGTAGTAGGTGTTGCAGAAGAACACGATCACCATTGAGGCATAGCCCAGTCCTGTGAGGCAGCCACACAAGAACAGTGTAGGACAGACAGTGAATCCACCAAACCTGGTCCTAGTAAGACACACTCCAGTAGGGCCGAACGGCACACCCTTAGTACACCAATCTCTCAAGAAAAACATGTACTTGGAACAAGAGGATTTGATAAGGCCTCCTGCCGCTAAGAGACCATTTCAAATTAAAATCTTGACACGAAAAAAAACGGTTTCTACTACTCAAGAAAGTCAACATACAGTAATATGTTTAATTTGACAAAAAAAAACCTCAAACTGTACAATGGTTGACCCTGCGCTCTGACCCCAGGCTTCTCTCTCCCTGTCTGTGTGTCTCATGGAGAAAAGCTGGGGTATGTGAAAAGACAAATTCCTAATGCAAGAAATTGTATAGGGCTAATAAAGTGATGTTAAACTGTTTCTATCCTAGTTATCAGAAACTGATGACATCTTACTATATTACTTATATATCATAGGGTGTGTCCCTGCAGGAGCTGGGCTGGCATCCTCTGCTGCCCAGTATATTTGAAAACTTTACTCTATATTCCATTCCTAGACTTTGCTCCAGAAACACAAAAAGTATTTTACTGTGCTAACTGCCTTCAAGAGATTCACATGTTTAGCTCTGGAGCACAAATGCATTTGTAAATTAACAATAACAATTGTAATAAATTAATGAATAGCATTGTTATACAGTAGATACCTGACACCAGCATTCACATTATGTCTTGAGCGCTTGCACATGAGTGAAAATCCTCTCATTACTCACAGTTTGTTTTCACATTTGTCTTTCTCTAAACCTTCATAAAAGCGAATCAGAGAATAATAGATTTGTCTGTGTATTGCGAACACTGACATTTTAATAATGTATTTCTCCATTTATAATGTCATTTGCCAATATAATCCTTTCGGCAGTGAGGACAAGCGGTCTTTCGCTCTGCTCTGAAATGACATTAATAACAACACTGATCTGATACTGAAAGCCCTTCTTTTCCCCAGAGAACATGGCCACAAGATGACAGTGCCATCCATGTGCTTTCTCAACCACATGCCAGTGTATGAGTCTACTGTCATGTGTTTGATCCCCTGAGCATTACCATCCAGGAAAATGCATTTCAATTCCCTGCATTATTTTCCTATTGAAAGACAAAGATGATACATGGCACTAGGCTTTTCTTCAGTCTTTCCCACTACAGACTGAGAGGTTTAAAGTGTACTGAAGTAAAGGGATAGCTTGGAGTTTTCCTGCAGCAACACACGGAAAATGTATGTCATTGTGTATAATTAAGTGTTCTGGTCACAGGGCAAGAGTGAGGGAACTAAAATCACATCACTGATGCAAATGTGGAAAGCTGACTTGCTATAGACAGGATTAGAAAAACACTTTTAGTCATCAATGACACTTCATAGTGTGACTATAAATCACTGAGAAAGTTCAAAGCCGTCTCCCTCGCTGTCATTCAGTTCTGAATACTAGACCAGGCCACCTCAGCTCTGACACTTGCCTTTCTCTATTCACCACTGCAACGCCACCACGGTCAGATCAAACTCCCAATGTGCAAAGCGTAACACAGTCTTTGTGGCCATCAAACCAACCTGATGTGTTCCACGCTCCACCTTCGAAGCCCACTACCGCCCTCGCCAAAGTGAGAAAGGACCCATTGGCAAAACCTCTTTTTTTGTTAAAGAAGGATTTGGGAACATGAAGTTGGCTGTCTCACTACACACGGCAGCAGCTGACACGCTTGTGCCCTCTGCCTTGGTGGAGGTAGTGATGGTGGTGCTCTTTGGCTGGACTGAAGGATTGCAGGTGCAGAGAGAGGTCTGTACTGAACGAGCCACTGGGACACGAAGCAGAACTAATGTAATTGAATTCATTGAAGATCTTTCCTGGAATGTCCTCGTGGGTTTCACGTTTAACCCTGTTTGCTGCTTCGCTGCTCTTTTATAGTACCCTTTACAGTTGAGCACTTAATAAAAACTGAGATCTTCATTCAGATCTACTGATAAGGCATCACACAGAAAGCTCTTGTAGTGCAGGGAATACGCCAGGTTCTGGAACTTCCACAGCGGAGAAACCAGGCCTGGTGTTTTATTTTGAGATTGTGAAAACAGAGAAATCCTTTGCTCTCGCTAGTTAACGGTGTGATGATTCTGACACACTGCATGAAACAAGACACCAAGCTCAAATAGAACATGCTGAACTAGTGCTGCTCCCTGCAAAAGCAGATGTTAAACACAATACGGCAGGAACTTTTGTAAGACTGGCAGACATCTAATTATCTAAATTATTTCCATTAATTTAGAACAAACACAATTACATAGGCACATTATGTAACTTAAATTATCATGTATCCCAGTAATTTCCAAACACTACAGAACAAGTTTATAATCTAAGTAAATATACGATCTGACAATCTGTCCCTGTACATTGTTTGTCACGAATGCACACTTTATTTATTTTAACAACCCTGAAAGCACCTCCCACCCTACAGCACAGTCCTGTTCTGCTTCAGTTCTGTTTAAGTCTGAGCAAGGTCACTGTAAAATAGTGCCCAAACTGGCGCTAACAGGGGCTGAAAGACAAAATAAAGAGCTGCAGAACAAGTCACTGAGTGCAAACATTGTGCAGGCATGTTTTATAGGTTTCATAAATTGAAGAGCTTGACGTTCCATACCCCTGGAAAAGGGCATAAAGTGGGGAGAGTGGATGGAGGGTATTACTTGCACATTGTAATACCATAGTAATATGTACAGTAATACATAGGATAGCTTAAGCTGTCCAAAGACTCCTTGTAGGTTTCCATAGTGCTGTGGACACCATGCTTGTCTAACTTGCACAAGGTTCTCCGATCAAACTGAGCGGGTAACAAGCACTTCTTTAGTAGAATTACATCAAGGGATACAAATGGGGAAAAAAATGTACAATTCACTATTCCTGTGTATTCACTATAATTTCACATACTGTGGACAACTTTGGTCACCAGGCTATAGAAAAGATATTGCTGCTCTGGAATTAGTCCAAGAAGAGCAACGAGATACATTCCAGGACTTAAGGGAATCCCCTATTGTGACATGCTAAAGGAACTGAACTGAAGAGTGAAAAAATGTAAGGGTGGACATGATCCACCCATCCATCTTCTACCCACTTCATCCAATTCAAGGTCACTGGGGAGCTAGAGCCTATCCTGGTGAAAGTCAGGACACACCCTGGGCGGGACGCCAGTCTGCCACAGGGCACAGAGAGACTCAGACATGTACACATTCACACCGAGGCCAATTTACCAGAAGCCAATTAACCTACCAGTATGTCTTTGCACTGTGGGAGGAAATCTGAGCCCCCAGGGGAAACCCACAGGATCACGGGGAGAACATGCAGACTCCACCCAGACAGCACCCCAGGAATTGAACCCAGGGCCCCAGCGCTGTGGGGCAGCAAGGCTGACCACTGAGCCACTGTGCCGCCCCAGGACTTAATTCATAGATTAGAAATCCTCAATGGTACAGACAACGTAACACTGAAACGGAAATCAGAGGACATGAATGGAAGCTAATGGGAAGTGCACCTCAAACTGAGAATATCTCTGTTTAACACTAGCACTATGTCCTGTCCTGGCTGTGTTATAATGTCTATGGTCTACATCTATTGCCCATGTCTGTTTGTCATTTGTGCCTATTGTTTTTTCTCTAATGTTACTGGGTACAGCTGAACGAGTAAACATTCCAATACACTTGTTGGATACGGCAAATAAAGAAATCTTGAATCTTGAGTCATGGGAGTACGGAATAAATAATTCCAGTTATGTTTTTGAAGCTCATACCATGGCAGCTTTCAAGAAATCCTCTGACTTATTAGCTACTCACTGCCAAATGAGCAAGATGAGCCCAATGGCTTCCCTTCATTTGTAACCCTCTGTATATCCTTATGGTACTTTATATCCATGGTGCTGAATACGTTACACTGTAAAACTCACTTTGCAACACCAATAATCAATATTAAACAATGTGTATAGAATTCAATAACTAATTGATAACAAATTCTTAAAAGATATTAAACTTTGCATTAACCTCTTTATACAGAAATGAACTTTTTTTTTCTTTGCACTACAATGCGGTACAATTCTGAACACCTGAGTTCACTTAGACTATGGTTTGATGTGAGACAGGACTGACCTTTAAAGAGCGGTGCAATGTTCCACACATTGATGCTGCCAGCCTTCATGAACTGTCCCAGTGCGATCTCCAAGAAAAAGATAGGGATCCCCCCGACCAGGACAATCAGGATATAGGGAATGAGGAAGACTCCTTCACAAAGACAAATTGACAGCAAAGACTCGGGTTAAACACACTCAACTGCCTTGAAATGTCTTAGTACCTCCTTCTCTCGGCCTCCACTGCCAGCTGTTTCTGCTCTGCTGCTTTAGGAGATGATAGGAGAGCCTAACAACTGAAAGAATTGTGTACAAGGGCAGGCTGGAACAGTTAAAGGCCCGCACGCAGAAACAAAGGTTTTCCAGTGATTTTAGGAAACAAAAGTTGTCGTTAATGAGTAGTAATGAGTAGTAAGATATCGTTCAGTTCACACTTCTAATATTCCTATTTCAGTCAGGAGAATTTTGTAAGCATTTATTGAGTAAAAAGTTACAGTATGATTGGTTAAAACACCCCATACTACATGGTACTCCTGTCCCATGAGCAATTCTGTCCAGCAGCAATCACTGCGCAGAAGGAACATGTGTTGCCACCACTCCCCACTTTAAACAGAGCCAATAAATGAGGATTCAGGGCTTTCTTTGATATGACTGATTTTTGAATAACAAATGACAGCTGTCTTCCTATCTGTGCAGTGACGTTTTATGGGGTTAAGGGCAGTAAAGTGGTTTGGTGTGCTTTGTCTGGAACATCAGAATGCTAAATGTCCAGTAATTCTTTTCTTCAGTCAAGTTTACAAGATTTTATGAGCAAGAAAAACTATTTCATTGTTGTGTTACGTTAAGAACGCAACAAAAAATGTGTTGCCCTCAGTAACAATAAGGAAATGCTCACCTACATAGAATATCATGTACTGAAGCTTTACAGCAACTATAAATGCTATGTTAAGAACCTGTAAACATGAAAAAGCAGTGTTCCTAATCCTACCTGTCTGCTTGCAGCTACGAGAGGAGACGAGAGGAGCCAAGCTTGTTCACTGATGAGCACCTTGATTGCCAGAATGTGAGCTATCTAACCCACAGCTTGCCAGCTAAGCCAGTCACAAAGTGAATCACACCACAGTGTTCATTTGCCATGGGTTTTATTTCAGGCAATTCTCTGCCAGTTTTATATTCAGGCTGTAACACCATTCTCATAGTGTTTTCATTTACAAGCAGCTGTACAGTATGTGAAAAGCAACAGAAAGTGCCAGATACTCTGGCTGTGCAGGAGTACCATGACCTATATGATAAAGAGTAAAGGAAACAGGCCAGCTGGGTACAGAATTCGATCTGAAACAGTGGCAGAATCTGAATGTTTTAAAATAAGTTAACATTTTTTTTTACTTGGAGTACTGTATTTGCAACTGTATTTACAATTTAGTTCAACACAACCAAATATTAAAAATCTGAGCTTATAAACACTTCAAATAGGCTATGTGATTACAGCAGTATTATATTGATTTATCATCAAGGCAAATTGGCAATCGTTGTCCATTTAGCCCAAAAAAAGTGAACCTGATTCGACTGTTTTTTCTACTTGAATTTCATTCCATTTTTGGCAGCAATTATGCACAAGCAGGAAAGGCACTATTGAACGCCACTGGTTTGATTTTTCTGGACGGAATCTGCCGCGAATAAATGCTGCTGTGCGATTCACCCTTCAGAGCAATATACTCCTTCATCTCCTTATGCTGGAAAAATCTGCATGGTCAGAAATCCTTCCTCTGAACGCAAGCATCATTATTACTACTGATGTTATTGTTGTGATCTGACAAAGCACGTCGGGCCATTAAATACAATAATCCCTGGCCGAGTGGTTTCAATCGTGCCGCTGCAGAAGACGCTTAGTGCTGTCGGGGACGGGGGGGTGGGGTGGGGGAGGGAGCCCAGTGGCTGGGTGTGTGGTGAGTGGACTGGAGGGTTTAATGAAGATTACAGTGTGCAGATCACGTCCTGGCAGCCTAGGCTCCCACGTCTCAAACACTAGATGGAGACTACCAGCTTGGCAAGGAATGAGGCACACAAAGCATGCCGCTGCATAAGTCCAGCTGCACACCTCTGCCTGTTTGCACAGTGGAAGGACACAGAGACTGGGGAGTGAGCTGTTGACTAGCAGGGATTTAGAGTTCTTAACCTTCCTCAGTATCTATACATCCTTGAATTCTCATAAACATCTTTTCAATGACTGGTGAAAGGAGAGCCATTTTTGAAACTCACGTCTGTCTCTACTCCGCGACCTACAGTTCTAAGGCCTACTCTGTCACCGCTTTAAACTGAGGAGTAAACACCAGGGTCCAAGGACGGCATGATGGGGCAGCGCTTAGCACTGCTGCCTCGCAGTGCTGGGGGCCTGAATTCATTTCCGGACCTGGGGTGCTGCCTGTGTGGAGTTTGTATGTTCTCCCCTTGCTCATGTGAGATTCTTCCACAGTCCAAAGACATACTGGTAGGTTAACTGGTTTCTGGGAAAACTGGCCCTAGGTGTAAGTGTGTGTGTGTGTGTGTGTGTGTGTGTGGGCCTTGTGATGGACTGGCGTCCCATTCAGGGTGTACCCTGCCTTGTGCCCGTTGCTGACTGGGATGAGCTCTGGCTGCGCTGCGACCCTGAGCTAAAAGGAGCAGTTAAGAGAATGGACGGATGGATACTAGGGTCTTCTTCAAGTCAAAACTTGCTACAGGCCACAGGACTACATGGGTTTCCAGCATGCATGGAGAAATACTCCGGTGACCTGAGCACCCACTGGAGCAGCAACAACATTGTTGAGCAAACACAGGATTGTGGGTCACGTTTTAAACCTATGCAGCCCCAGTATACCAGCTCCAAATAGAGCAAGGATGCAAGGGACATACCTGTGGCTTACACTGTTTAGCCAGACTGCAGGGGGTTGATGTGCATTATCCTTGAAACATAAATCATTTTCGCAAACTAATAATTTTGTCACCCGCTTTCCTTTTTAAGAAAAGTTAGCCCTTTGCTTAAACGAATCCAATAAAAGCACTTGTAAAGGCTTGACTTCAGATGCCTGAGCATGAAGGGAACCATTAGTTTAGTTACCAGGCTCCTCTTGTTAACAGTGGATATAGTTTGCTGGCAAGTTATCAAGCATTAAAAGTTTTGGCTTAAAGGGCCATGATGTAACAATGCACGTCCATGTGTCAATTATATAAAAACAAAAGAACAGATTCTATATTAGTCCAAATAGGTAGCTGCATCGTCAGGCGTAGGCTGCAAAGGAACAAGTAAAGGTTTATTCCAGGCTGAAAAGAGAAGAAAATAAACACAACGTTTCGGCTGTGGAGCCTTCTTCAGGTGGAGCCTTCCTGTGGTTCTCTTCTTCTCTTTTCAGTCTGGAATAAAACTAATTCCTTTGCAGCTTCTATGTTAGTTTGTCATCTCTATCTCCTAATGGCTAGACACTCTCCAGGTTTGGGTTCTCAAGTGTTCATTTACATTTTATAATTTGGAAAAGAATATGTTATGAATAAAAATCTTAAAACATGGGACTTGTACCTTCAGGCTGCTGTTTGTGGCAATCATCTGATTCGTTATTGTTTACCTGTTTGTTATGGAAATTCAATTCATATTATATGTTATATTCCGTTACATATATTGTACTTTATTATCATACCTCTTGGCAAAACCTACTTGAATGGCTTATTGTTAGCAGAGAGCAGAACTGAGAAAACATTGATATGAAGGCCTATTTTAAATTAAACATTCAATTCTTTCCCTGTCGCTGTCGCCGATCGGTGAAAAGGAGTCCATGATTCGGGAACAGCACATTTGAAAACGAAAGCAATAAAAAACCCTCGGAGTCGGGCCAGGGTGTACTCTGGGCAAACAAGAAGAGTTGGAGTACTGAAGACAAAAAGTGTGTGTTTTTAAATCTCTTAAATTCTTTCACCTGTACTGAAAATTGAGAAACTCAATGAACCTGCAATATGAGCAAAAGCTTTATTCTCAAGCTGTATAAAAACGGAGATCAAGTCGCAGTGCAGAGCGCACTTTCTCACTCTCAGAGAATCCATTGTTGGGTCAGTTAGAATACAGTGGGGCTGGAGTCTATTGTTCCACTTATCATTCAAATGCCTTGAAATCAGGCGGATTCCCTTGGACAATGGGAGCTCTGTCCCTGGGACAGCGGGGGCTGTTTGGCCACAGTAAAAGGCAAAAGAGGTATTGCAAAATGAAGGAACGGCTTTCAGAGAAGGCTTAAACTTATGAAGGATGCTCAAGTGATCGTAGGAATCATATAGGTGTTGCAAACAAAGGCTTTCTGAAAACGCAGTATAAACTCAGTGAAAAACTCTGAAACTCAGTGAAAAACATCAGCTCTATGAAGATCAAACAAAAGCACTTTCGATATTCTGTACATGCCCTTTTCTCTCTCTGCTTAGGCTGCTGTTGCAAGTAATGGGATAAACCCGTTCATCTGTTTCTTCCCATAATTCCAGACACCCATCTTACAACAGCGACTGTATGGGAGCTAAACCGGCTAAAGGGAATTAAGCTGTGTTGTCGGGAATTCTGTGGTCCTACAGTTAGAAAGACAATGGTCCTCCACATAAACAGGAGTGTGAAAAGCCCTCTGCTGCACCAGGTCACTTGCTCAAACCTGAGCGTCTCCAAAGAATGGTGAGTGAGGCTGCCACCTGTCTAGGCTGTGCTGAGACTTGTCCTCTTTTTGAAGTGGTTGTCCTGGGAAATCTGTAATATTCCCAGGGCAGTAAATGTCCCCTGTTTTTTGCCCTGAATTGTGAATGATCTATTCTGCTAACCATGAGGTTTTGCAGGCTATATTACAGTAGTTCATCCTATGGTTACACACACAGCAGCAACAGCCATCTAACTGCGCCACATGACATCATGGTCAGCAGGTACGTCACCTTGCCGGATGCTGTACGATATCGGGGGGTCGGGGGGGTGCTTGATGGCAAGAGAAGGCGACTGTTTAATTAAGAGGGCTTACACAAATGAAGGAGAGGGGTGACATTACATACAACAACGAAACGAAACACTCCCTCTATTTATAAGGCATGGCATTAAAATAAATAATAAGTCAGCTTTCATGAGCATCCTTATATTTATTTTAGGAAAAGGGGGCAGTCTGA